TTTTTTTTTTTTTTTTTTTTTTTTTTTTTAAAATTTTTTTTTTTTTTTTTTTTTTTTTATTTTTTTTTTTTTTTTTTTTTTTTTTTTTTTTTTTTTTTTTAATTTGTTATATTTCTTCATATTATTTAATGTGTTCATATATTTTACTTTTTTCTTTATACATTTGTAGTAATAAAGCAAAATGAAAAATTTTATTTTTTTTAATCACATAAATTTATATGGTTGTTTTAATTTTAACCTTTTTTTTCAGTTTATATTATTCATTTTTTTTTTTTTTTCTTTTTTTTTTTTTTTTTTCCATTAAATAAAAAACACATTTTAAATAAAATCATTAAATTGATAATTATTTATTTCTTCTTCTAAATTCATTATGGTATTATTTACGGTTTCCATTGGACTAGACACTGATGATTCATCATTTTTATTTAAATAAGCATAATTATATGCGTAAGATCCATCTATTTCTAAATTATTTTCAATTTTTTTTTTTTTTTTTTTAATATTACTATTTTTTTTAAATTTCTTTTCTTTATTTTGATTTATTCTATTATAATTTCCAGCTTCATATTTATTATTTTTTTTAATAATATTTATATTCATGTAATTTTTTTTGTTATCGCTTTTATCTCTATTGTTTCCATCTACTAAATTATCATATGTATTAGTGTCATAAGATTTATGATTATTTAAATTGAAATTTCTTTTCTGATTTCTATTTTTTAAAGAATTTTTTGAACTATTTTCTATATTATTTTTGGTATACATTTTTTTTTGTACTTTATTATTTTTATATGGTTCATTATTGTCCTTGTTATCATCAAATTCTAATAAATTTTTGCTTTTTACATATGATAAGGAATCATTTTTTTCATCCTCATAGTTTTCGTTTGGTTTATAATCATAACTATTATTTTTAATTTTTTGTCTTTTAAAGTTAGCATTATTTGAATATATATTGTTTTGAATGATATTATATTTATTAAAACTTAAAACACTACCAGATGAATTAGAATTGCTTTCAATGTCTGATGAAGATTCCTTATAGATAGAATGATTATCAATTTGCATATCATTCCACTTCTTTAGTTTTATTAGATCATCTATATTTTCATTTAATTCATTTTCATTAGTATTAATGTCATCTTCATTATATGAATTAAATATACATTCACTATCTTTAGAAGGATAATAAGAAATATTTTTTAAATTATTCATATATTTTATAAATTCATCCCAATTGTCTTTATTTTCCCTGAAGATGAAATTAAATATTAAGACATAAAATATAAAATAAACAATCAAAAATAGAAAAAAAAAAAAAAAAAAAAATATTATATCTGATTAAAACATATAAACATGTAGATCTATAACACAAATTTTAATATAAAAAAAAAAAAAATTATTTCTTTTTTTTTGTTTACTCTAAGTCTGATTTTAAATTAGGTGCCTTTTTTTGAAACCTATATGATTCTATGTAATTCATTATTTTCTATTTTTTAAACATATTTATACATTAATAGGTTGTTTCAACATAATATTTTATTATTTTTTTTGAATAAATTAGAAAACTTAAAAACTAAAGGATTCATAATTAAGAGATATGATACATATACAAAAAAAAAAAAAAAAAAAAAAAAAAAAAAAAAAAAAAAAAAAAAAAAAAAAAAAAAGTGTTAAATGTAGATATAATAATAAAAAATTTAATTTACAAAAAAAATCCTTTCATTATTAAAAAGAAAAAAATGTTTATTTTAAAACTAAAAAATATGTTTTACTATATAAAAAAATCCAAAAATTCATAATAAAATATATGTATATATATATATATATTATATAGTACGTATTGTTATAAAATGATCATATTTTTGTTCAAAGAGAAGATACTTGTTTTTATAAACTAAATTTAAAATATAAATTTTTTTATAAAGAAAAATTTTAGTTTAATAAATTTTACAAAAAAATAAAAAAAAATTTATTTTTAAAAAAATAAAATAAAACAGTGACATACAATAAGTATATCAAAGCATACAATGAAAATTTTTCGTAAGAAAAATTTCAATTTATATTATTTCGTTAAAATTAATATTTTTTAAAAAATTTATTCTTAGTTTTGTAATTCTTAATTAGCAAAATAAAGTAATTTAAATTACTATTCCATATTTTTAACAATATTATAAAGTATATTTTCCTTTTATTGATTTTTTAAAATATGGTTTTTGTATTCTTAAAAAAATGTTACATTGATTAAAACTTAATTTAGTATATTATTTTGTTATTTGTTTTTCTCATATGTTCATTTTTTTTTTAAAATGATTAGAAGATTGTTTCTCCCATATTTTTCTAAAGATAAGGGTCCACCAAGAATTAGATGCCAAATAAATGGAGTGAAAAGAAAAAGGTTTTATAAAATTGTAGTAGCAAATCAAAAAGATAAGAAAAATGGAAAACATATAGAAGTGTTAGGTACATATGTTAATAAAAATAACATAAGAGAAAAATTAAATAGATATAATATTGCCGATTCTAATAATGATTATTATTACAATAATGTAGAAAATATAAAAGAAATAAGGTTACGATTTAATAGAGTTAAATTTTGGCTAGCTGCTAACTGTAACTTTAGTGATCATATGAAATATGTTTTAAGTCTATGTAAAATAATACCTCAATATCCAATAAAATATAGTAGGAGATGTTCAGATAAATATTATTATAAATACAACGAAATAATAAATAAACATAAACTTATACAAGCCGAAAAAATAAATAATTTTTTGAAAACAGATTTAAATATACAATATTTGAATAATTTTAATGAATCATCAAACGAAAGAAAAAAAGAGGATGATTATTTATATACTCCTGAAGAACTTACTTATCTTAAAAAATTATCAAAAAATAGAAATTTAGATTTTGAGCATACTGATAAAATTAGAAAAATTATTAGGTAACATAAATAATCTCTACCATCATTATTGTGTATATGTACAAATTCAAACTAAAAACAAAATTATAAAGAAAAACACTTTATATTATATATAAAAATTGCAATATAGTTACCCAAAAAACAAAACTTACAAGAAATTTTTTTTTATCATTTATTATATTAGAGTATTAAAGATAAGTGTGAATATAATATATACCTATATTTATTATAAATTAAAAAAATAGTATTCATTTAATAATTATTGCTACAATTTTTTATTTAAATATGTGATAATTAACAAGAAATGAAACAAATATTCTAACAAAAATTTATAGCATTTATATTTTATATCTTTTTCTTTAGTGTATCTCTAAAAATATAATTCTTACTAAGTGATTTTTTTTCTATTAAATATATAATTACATTAAGAAATATTTATCTTAAAATTAGCAATACTATATATGATTAAAAAAAAAAAAAAAAAAAAAGAATATATTTATCTTGTGTATATACATAAACCACACACATTTTATATATTTTTCTTTTTTTTTTTTTATCAATATAATAAAAAATGAATTTAGCTATTTTAAATATATTGTTTATAATAATCAACGAATATTTTTAATTATGTATATATATTTCATATTTTCTTAAATTATGAAATTAAACATGTATTTTTCATAAAAATATAATTAAGCATAATAAAATTTTATATTATTCTAAAAGATAAAGAGAAGCCAAATAAACAAAAAAGATAATACAAGGTAGAATGTATTAAATGGCTGCTTAAAATGTTTAATAAGTTATTTTATTTTTTTTTAATTAAATTTTTTAAATTATTCCCTATTTAATTATTTATTTTTTTTTTTTTTGTTTATTTATTTATTTTTATTTTTTTTTTATTATTTTTTTTTTTTTTTTTTGGTGTGTGTGCATTTTGGTGTGTTATAGTTTCCCATTATTTTTTCTTAGAAATATACAACTTTTTGTTTTATTCACAAATCACTATACAAAAATACATGTATGTATAAATATTTATATACCCAATTTAATAAAATATTTTTTTTTATGAGGAAAATAAATATTTAAAATATGATAAAATATCATTGTGTAAATGTAAATTACTATTTTAACTTATTTTACAGCAATTTATTAAAACAAAGTAACATTTCATTTTTTTTTTTTTTCCTTTTTAAGATATATGAGAATATATTGGAAATACACTTGATTTTTTTAATTTTTAAATTAATTATTAAATAATATTTATATTTGTACTATTGTGTTTAATAATTGTACATAAATTTCAATATATATATATATATTAAATTATCGTTTTCTATAATTTGAACCTACAAATAAATAATAATAAAATAGTAAAAAGCTACATCATATATTTTTGAATGTTATTTAATAAATGTAAGATAATTAGATAAATTAAAAAAAAAAAAAAAAAAAAAAAAAAAAAAAACATGTAAATATACATATATATGTTTTTCTATATGAGTAAAATTAATTTAAATTTGATAAATTTTCAATAATATGAGTGATTTATATGACAATGATATTTTGAAGAAATGTAAGGAAGACATAAATAACTTTGATGATATTAGAAACAGTTTTTTAAAATTAAATTTGCAAAGAGACGATAATAAAAACAACACTATTAAACATAATAAAAAAGATGAAATTGATTTGTTTTATTCTGATAAAAAATATCAAAATGGCTTTTTAACAGAAAAAAATAAATTTCAAGTAAATTCATTTTTGGAGGATTTACCTTCATCCCATAACTCAACACTTTCGTGTAACAACAATTTAAAAAATATAGTAAATAATAGAAAAGAAAAATCTAAAAAAATTGAAAGTGATTTTAACTTTTTTTATCTAAATAAGGATAAATTAAAAATAAAAAATAATTTTTTAATGAATGAAAATTTAAATGATAATATAAAATTAAACAGTCCACTGGATGGAATTAACAAAATAAATTTTATACAAAATCTAAGAAGATATAGACATGATAATACTAATGAAAAAAGTAAAGATAAAATAGATAAATTAGAACATAAAAAGTATTTTAACAACTATATTAATAAATTGAAGTTAGAATATTTATATAACTTTAAATTCGGAAATGATCAGGTTCAAAAGGCTGACTTCAAAGAAGATAAAAAATATATTAGAATTGTAAAAAATTGCACAGATTATAATAATATAAATTCTTCTAAAATTCATCAAATTGAGGAATTAAAAAAAAGTAAAAAGTATAATTCAATCTTTCATAAGAACAACGAAATTGAAAAGAGAAATAATAGTACTCCTGAGAAAATTAATAATATAAATGCAAATTATTTAAATATATCAAGCATTAAGAATAATTTACATATGGATCTTAATTATATGAACAATTTCGAAAATATTAAAAAAATAAATATTAGTGATTTAAATAATAATTCTAAGATTCTACAACAGAAATATATTCAAAGTAAAAATGAATCATTCTTAGATATCCCTTTAAATAGTAATAGTTATAATAGTAATGTTTTATTATTAGAAAGAACAAACGATTTATTCTCTGAAATAAATAAAGAAAAAGAATATTTTAATATATCAAATTATTTAAATAAATGGATAAATGAAGCAAAAAATAAGGAAAATAATACTAAACTGCTAGAAAAACAAAAAGAAAAAAAATGTTTTGTTAATAATATAAAAAAAAATTCAAATGATGTTTTTGTTAAATCTCTGAAGGATAGCAAAAAAGAAAAACAGTGTCTTGTAGGTACAGAGAAAATTATTGATTATGGAAAGAAAAGTTGTATTAAAAATGAAAATCTAGAAATTAAAAATTATTTTGGAGGTTCATTTGATTTTAATAGCAATAAAAATATTATAAATAACAATTCTCTAAAAAATGTGCCTTTTAAAAAAAAAGTGAACAAAATAAATACTAAATTAAAAATATATGAAAATTTATTAAACTTCGAAGAAGTATTAAAAACTAAAAATAACATTGAAAAAATTATAAAAAAAGAGAATGATAAATCAAATAAAAATAAAGAAAATACAGATAATGAAAAAAATATGCTTTATTTGAATAAAAACAATAATTGCATTAAATACACACAACACATCATAAAAAAAAAAAATAGTAGTGAACAACTTTTTCCCTTAAATGAAATTGACACATTTAATAAAAATAAAGAAACAAAAAAGAATATAAATCTTATAAATTTTTCCATCAATTTTAAATTAAAAAAAAACATAAACAATAAAAACAGTAACGGCAATTTATCAAAAAAAAATTATATAAACTCTATTTTTAAAGATAGTTATGAAAAAAAATCACAATTAAATGAACTTCAAAATTCTAAATATAATAATTTTAATAAAATTTCAATAAATGATAAAAAGGAATTCTTAAGTTCCTTTTTAGAAAATGATAACAACGATAAAAAAAATATGTATATTGAAAATTTATTTAGTTTAAATGATAATAATAATTCAAACAGTGAAACAATCAGCAATTATTCATCTCAATTTTGTCATGAAGAAAACAAATTTTTATATAAAATTAATAAAACTATAGATACCAAAAAAAGTACATTACAATTAAAAAATGATATTTGTAAACCAGAAAAAAATGAAAATAAAAACATATATGAAGAAATAACAAAAAATAAGAAGTATAAATATATTGATGATAAGAAAGAAGTCCCTCTAGAAATGAAATGTATCATATCAGAAAATGCTATTCATGAAACACAATCAGAAAAAAATGTCATCATTAGAGAAAATAAACAATATGATATTAGTGTAATTAAAAATTTTAATAAGGAAGAATGTGGAAATAAAGAATATACAAACAAGAAAAATGAAGAAAATTCAAACATAAAACAGGTGTGTGAAGATAAAGCATATAAGAAGAAAAATGAAGAAAATTCAAAATCTGATTATGTAAAAGAAAATATTAAAGAAGAAAATAAATTAAAAATATTCAATGAAATGAAAAAGGAAATGCATGAAGATAGTCATAAAACAAATACAACAGATTATTATTTATCAAATTATCGTTATAATTTACGCGATATATGCTTAAACAGTGTGAATCAGAAATTTAATTTTAAAAATAACATGGAAGAAGATACCTCAAAAATTATTGAATATAATGAATTAAACAAAATTCAAAACAGTAAAATAGATGAAAATATACACTCTGAAATATTTTATCATAATAACATTAAAAAAAGTAAAGAAAAAGAATATAATACGAAAATTATTCAAAATAAGAAAATAATTAATATTTTACAAGATGACGATAAAAATAGAAATGATGTCATTAAGAATGAAGAGGAAGAAGTAGTTAATGAAAATATAAAAAGTATTTATAACGTTAAAATAAGATGTAAAACCAATAATAAAACTAATATTGAAATAGAAAATAAGATTAATAATGAAAATGAAAAAAGTGAAAATTATGATACTTATTTTGAAACTTTAAATAAAGAAAATAGTGAATTTGCTTATGAAAATTTATGTAATGAAAATGATAGTAATAAAGTAGAATGTTTTAATGATGAAACAAATAGTGAAAATATAAAGAATGAAATAGATAATGAAAATGATAGTAATAAAGTTGAATGTTTTAATGAGATAATAAATAATAAGAATACTAAAAATGAAATAGATAATGAAAATGAGAGTAATAAAGTTCAACACCTTAATGATGAAGTAAATTGTGAAAATAAAAAGAATAAAACAGATAATGAAAATTATAATAAAGTTGAATGTTTTAATGAGGAAATAAATAATAAGAATACTAAAAATGAAATAGATAATGAAAATGAGAGTAATAAAGTTCAACACCTTAATGATGAAGTAAATTGTGAAAATAAAAAGAATGAAATAGATAATGAAAATGATAGTAATAAAGTTGAATGTTTTAATGAAGAAATAAATAATGAAAATATAAAGAATGAAATAGATAATGAAAATGATAGTAATAAAGTTGAATGTTTTAATGAGGAAATAAATAAGAATACTAAAAATGAAATAGATAATGAAAATTATAATAAAGTTGAACACCTTAATGATGAAATAAATAATAAGGATACAGAAAATGAAGTAGATAATGAAAATGAGAGTAATAAAGATGAACACCTTAATGATGAAATAAATAATAAGAATACTAGAAATGAAGAAGATAATGAAATTTATAATAGTATCGAATGTTTTAATGATGAAATAAATAGTGAAAATATAAAGAATAAAAGAGATAATGAAAATTATAATAAAGTTGAAAACCTTAATGATGAAATAAATAAGAAGAATACTAAAAATGAAGAAGATAATGAAAATTATAATAAAGTCGAAAACCTTAATGATGAAACAAATTGTGAAAATATAAAGAATGAAATAGATAATGAAAATGATAGTAATCAAGTTGAATGCTTTAATGAGATAATAAATAATAAGAATACTAAAAATGAAGAAGATAATGAAAATTATAATAAAGTTGAAAACCTTAATGATGAAATAAATAATAAGAATACTAAAAATGAAGAAGATAATGAAAATTATAATAAAGTTGAAAACCTTAATGAGGAAATAAATAAGAATACTAAAAATGAAATAGATAATGAAAATTATAATAAAGTTGAAAACCTTAATGATGAAATAAATAATAAGAATACTAAAAATGAAGTAAATAATGAAAATAGTAATAATGAAGTTGGATTAATTAATAATGAAATAACAAGAGAAAATGATAACAATAGATTTACTATTAATAATGATGATGAAAAAATAAAAAGTAATAAAAATATAATTAAAATCGATAGTTATAAAGGAAATGAAAATGAAAATGATTATGAAATTGAAAACATAAAGAATGAATATAATAATGATGAAAGCAAAAATGAAAAAGGAAATAACAAAAATATAAAAAATAAAAATGAAAATAACAATAATGAAAATCTTTATAGTGAATTTTATTATGCAAATGAAAATAATGGTTATAAAAATGACAAAATTGAATATGAGGATATTAATAAAAGTGAGTGTCAAACTCAAAATGTAAATGATGATAATAACAAAAATATATATGAAAAAAATGTAAATACTATGGATATTTATAATGATAAAAAAGAAATAAATATTGATAACAACAAAAATATAAATCAGAATAATAATATATATTTTGGAAGTAAATATATTAAAAAAAAAATGTATTTTTTTGATGAAAATTTAGGAAATGATTATTTAAAAAAAGATAGAGAAAATAATGAAAATTTAATTCAAGATATTTTTCAAGAGAATATTTCTAATATTGAAAATTTTAATTACGAAAATATAACAAATAAGAAAGAAATTCCTAAAGATGCGAATTTAGAAACAGTAGATATAATGTTAAATGAAAAAGTTGAATTATATCAAACGTCAGAATATTATATTGAAAATATTAAAAAAGAAACAGTAAATAAAAATGCACAAAATGAATTACTATATAGGCATACTGAATTTTTGGTAGATAATGTAACTATAAAAAATGAAAAAAGTCAAGATAATTTTAATAAAATTATCCCATATGTAGAAATAAGTAAAACTTCATACAATGAAATAATAAAGGAATTTAATAATCTATGTATAAAAATAAACAAATATAATTTATTTAAATATTTAAATATTAAAGAAGAAAGACTAAATTATATTAATTTATTATATAATTCATTTAATTATTATAACAAAACATTAAATGTAAATAGTGAAAAAACAAATATTTATGATTATCAAGATAAAAAAAACATACTAAATAGTGATGAAAATAAAAAATTTTTTGAAATGAAATTATTTAATATTTTAAATTCAAATTTAATAGAAGATAATGATTTAAATACATGTAATAATAATGAAATTTCTGATGAACTGAGTGTATATGAAAATAAAAAAGATTTTAATAACAGTTCACAACATCTTAATGAAAAATTAAATGATATAATAAATGAAAAAGATGAAATCAGTAAAAGCAGTGAATCTGTTAATTTAATAAATGAAGTAAAAAGTAATATAATTCATAATAATAATATAAATATACAGAATATAAAAGAAATGAATAATGAAACTGAGGGAGAAATTTTATATTATTCTGATGAAAATGACGAAGATAATATATGTTTTGAAGATATTAAAAGGAATATATGGTTGCAAAACGAAGAGTTTCATAAAAATAATGAAAGACAAAATCTAGTTAATTATATAAAATTAGAATCAGTAAAGTGTATTATATTATTTTGTTATTTGTATAATATTAAGTATTTTCAAGGAATGCAAGATATGGTTATAAGTTTATTTTATTTAAATTTAGAAACTTATGAAATATTTTGTGTTTTTGAAAAAATTCTACATTATTATGCACCATATTTATATTTAGGGTATAACTTAAAAAATAAATACTCAACATTTTACATAAATATAAATGATGTTAGTAACAAATGTAAAATTGAAGATATTAGTATGAGCATATGTAAATTTAATGGAAAATTATTCAGACTTATATTTCAATTTTTTTTTCCACATATTAGTAATTACTTTGATATGACAATCAACGAAAATTGGCCATCCTTTTTTTTTGTTAATTTAAATTTTAGTAAATTCACAAATGTTTACTGTTTATTATATATATGGATGAGATTAATAGAAATAAAAGGAGATAAAAAAGCAGCTACATGTGATTTTATTCTTTATTTATTATCCTTTTTTAGGTATAAATTAAAAATTATTAAACGTAAATTATATGAAAAAATAAATATACTTGATATAAATAAAAACTCAAGTTTTAGAAAAGATATTATAAAAAAAAGTGAACCAAAACTTAAAGAAATCATACAAATAAATGATGATGAAGATGAAAAAGACAAGAAAGAAGAAATACAAAAACAAAAGTATGATAAAAAAGAAGAAAAAGAAAATGAAGAAAATCAAAAGAATAATGAAAAAATAAAAGAAAACATTAAAAAAAAAAAATTGTCTACATATTGTAAACATATGTTCTCTTTAATTTTTGAATATAACTCATCTTTTGATGAACATATAAATGATGATTTTAAAATACATGTGGATAATATTATAAAAAATATTAGCAAAATAAAAGAAGTGATTCCTAGTAGTGTTATAGATTTAATTATCAACTACAATTCTATATATCAACAAAATGAACAATTATTAAAACAAGACGTATATATGGATGAAAATTCTTCAAATAATATAATGAAACAATTAGACAATAACGTATGTTTAAATATAAAAATATCTGATTTATTTTTTATATATAATAATTATAAGTATTATGAATTTGTTTTCATTAGGTTATTAAAAGAAAAAATTATCTTAAGTAAACTTAATTACATTAATATTAGTAATATAGAAATAGAAAATTTTGCTGAATTAAGAAATGTAGATGAATTTTTAAAATACAAAATAAAATTAAGAAATGTATTTAAGAACAATAAAAAGATATTATACGTCATATATTTAAATGAAAAAGATATTCACCACCTCAATGATAAAGAAGTTAGTACAGAAATTAATTATGCATATAAAAAAAATAATGAATTTTTTAATAACGATCAGAATATAAATAAAAACAAATTCATTAATAAATTTTTTTCTAAAAAAGATGTTAAAGAAAATGGAATCAATAAAGATAACTTAAATAATCCCATATTAGATAAAAAATACTTGAATAATTTTATAATATTATTATTAAAAAATAATATTAAATATTTAACTATACTTAATGAAAATTCTAATGTTATCAAAATAATTAATGAAAAAAAATATACTGAAGAAGAAGTAAACTATAATAAATCACTAAATGAAAGTAGTTTTTTTTTTCAAGTTATTAAAAAAGTGAAAAACAAAATATATGGAAATAATATAAAAGAAGATTCAATAAATAATAACATATCTTTAGAAAAAAATATTTTACAAGATAATAATTTAATGTTTGTATTAAATGGTTCTAATTTTAAAATATTTAATAAGAAGAAGATAAAAAAAAAAGAAAATTATAAAAAGAAAAAGACAATTCTAGATTATAAAAATAATCTAAGGAAAAAAAAAAATGAGAAACCACAAAATAAATTAAATAACAAGTTAGAAAAAGTATTAAATTACAAATTAGAAAAAAAATTAAATAGAGTCACTGATTTTTATTCAAAGAAATACGAAGAAGGTGATAAAAATAATCTTTTTAACTCATATAAAGAAAATTTAAATGAAAAATATATTTACTTTAACAAAAAAGAGTATATAAATGTTATGAATAATTTGAAATTAAAAAACTATTTAATATTTAAAAAAAATAAGAAGCAAAAATTAAATAGCAATATTAAACTTAATAATATGATGTATTCACGTTTAAAAAGAAAAAAAAAAAAACTAGAACAAAGTAAAACAATTAAAAAAAAAAAAGAAAAAGAATATAAAATTATGTTTAATCTTTCAAATAATAGAGAGATTAATGTAACTCAACGTAAACTATACAGAAACATAAATCACTTACATAATAAAGTAAACAACTACAAAAAAAATAGCACTTTTAATTTATCTAAAGAAAATTCTAACAAGGGATTAAATATTAATTTAAACAACAATGTAGATATTGATAAATTTATTAATAGTAAGGATAAAAGGAATTTTACTAATGAAAATAAATTAAATTTTTTAGAGTTACAAGAAAGGTATATTACTGATTTATTATCAGAAAATTTGTCAAAAAATAAAGATAAACAAGAATGTAAAAAATTATTTGTTCATAATAAAAGTATAATTAATTAAATATTTTCAAAAAATTTTGCTAATAATTTTATGAATAATTGAAAAAAAATTAATATATAAAAATAACTTCAATTTTCTTTAAAATCACCTATTCGTTAGGTAAATACAACAATTGAAATCAGTTATAAACGAGAAATTTCAAAACATATGGTATGACAATATAAATTATAATATAAACACATGAATTCTCCATTCAAAAATGTTTTATGTTAAAATTGTTAATGATAATTAGAAAAAATATTGCTATTAAAAAAAAAAATTTTTTAAACTCAAATTTGTTGCAAAAAAACATGTAATTTTATTAATTTTTTACTTTTTTTTTTTTGTAAAAGTTTTATTAATATTTTTAAAATACAGAAGCTATCAAATTATTAAATAGAAAAAATCTATATTAAATTGAAAAATTGTAATTCAGGTATTTCTCATAGCATTTTTTTTTTTTTTGGTGATATAAAAAGTATTTTTTTATTTTTTTATTTCTTCTATTTGTTTCTTGTTTTCACAAATGAGTTGTATCATCACCTCCATAAGATTTTTTTATATACAATTGTTTTTTATTTATATATATATATATATTTTCAATTCTTTTTTTTTCGTAAATATGTTTTCTTGTTAATTTTTTTTTTTTCTGTGTAGAAAATGGGAAATAATATAATTTTTATTTATATATGTAAATATATAAGAAATTTAATTAACTATTTTTAAAAATAATTTTTAAAATGACTAAAAATATATAGTGTTATGTATATATAGAAGGTTTTAATTAATTCATTTTTTTATTAAAAAAGTGAAAAAAAAAAAAACAAACATTTTTATATAAAAGTATCTATTTTCGCATATTTTTAAAAATATAAAACAAAAAAAAATTAAATAAAAGATATATGAAAAGATTTTTTTTATTTTAATATTCTATATTAATATTAAAAAGTATATATAAAAGTGTAATTTATCTATATATTTGTTTACAAGCTAATATATCCTTTAATTCATTTAAAATATAAACTTTTTTTTTTTTTTTAATCATTTTTAATAGTATCCCATATGTAACTTTATTAAATTTCAAAAGACCCATCTTTTGAATTGTACAAATTTAAAAATAGAAATGGTAGAAAAAATAAAAGAAAAAAGAAACCACTGACATGCATAACTAAAATGTGTATTTTCATCAGCGTAAAAGTTGAAATAATCTTTTTTTTTTTTATGTATAAAATGCTCATCATATCTAAAAGGCTTGATGTTTTGAAATTGAGAATTTTTAAAATTTTGAATGTTATCATTATATTTTAACAAACGATTAATCCTTTCTTGACTTTCCCTATCCATATCATTTATGTTTATATCGTTTAAATTTTTTAAATGTGAGTCTAGTTCCTTTGTATCACTGTTATTAAAATTAGAATAATAATCACTTTTTATATCACTACTATAATCTTCATGAACTATAATATCATATATATTTGCAATAAAATACGAAGATCCTTCAAAATCAGAAATATTAGCATAATGACAAATTTCTTGAGTATCATAATAAAAAAAGTAATTACTATACTTATTTTTGTTTGAAAAATTTTTTAATTTTTTAAAGGAACATTCATATAATTCACCCGGATCTAATATAGCTCTAATTGTGACAATTTTAGGTATTTCATTTTTTTTTTCTTCTAAAATATCTTCAGATATTAATCCTCTATTTACTAATATACATTTCCCATTTTTTAAAAATAATGGACATATTACATAATAATACATTTTATCTTTTTTATTTTCATATAATTTGGGACCTACATAAAATTCATTGGTTGTATCTAATACTCCTGTTAGCTGAACTTTTCTATATTTATATTTTTCAATTACAAGTTTTTTTAACTCATCTTCTGTTATGCATTTTTTAACAACTTTTCTATATAATTTCATTAATAAGTTTTCATTTCTTATTCTTATTATCCATTCGTATATATTATGAATATTTTCTATATCAACATATAATTTCTTTTCATTTATTTCTTTATTTTCTTCTTGTCCTTTTATTTCATTTTTTTTTGAATCATATATTTCACTAATCGTTTTTTCATTTTTTACCTGATTATTTTTAAGGTTACTATATAAAAACAATTTTTGCATAAATACTTTTTCAGATAAACTTTTAACATTTTCATAAAACGAAAGTATTAAAAATTTTATTTTAGATAAATTAGTACTGCTAATTAATCCACTGCTACTTTCGTAATGTAATAAATTTTTACTTAAATTTTCATAATTTTTTTTCAAAATTAAAAAATCATCAGACCATGGAAAATGAGAGTCATTAATTATTATAATTGATTTATTCAAGTTGTGTAAAATATAATTAATTAAAAACTTTTTTTTTTCCATCTTATTATATTGCCATATTCCCATTAAAAAAAAAAAGGAACATATAAAAGAAGAATAAAAGAAAAAGAATTTTCTTTCTTTCTTTCTTAAACCAAATTTACTGTTACGAACGCATCTAAAAATTGGTGAGGATATTTTATTTTTTATATTAATTAACCTAATTATAGTACTATTTTCGCATTCTATTGGTAAATAGTATTGTGTTTCACTTTTTTTTAATAAATTTATTTCTTCCTTATTTGCTTTATAGAATTTTTGACTTGGATACTTGAAATCTGCTAAAGAAAGCTCTTTTTTTTTATTTGTAATTATATTTTTTTCTTTAATTATTTTTTCTATATTTTTTAATTCTTCATTTAATTTATTTATATTGACTTTATCTGAAAATAAATATTTTCCAGAATTTATTCTAAATGTTTTTTTTTTCTTCCTTTTGTTGAACTTCGTTAATTTCCTCTTTTTTATATAATAATATTTTACATTTTTACAACTCTGAGATATTTCATTTCTATATCTTCTGTTATCTAAGCTACTAATATACTTTTTTTCCAAAAAATGAAAATCACTAAAAGTTGGTGATATACGTTTATCATGAAATTTTAAAATATCTAATTTAAATAAACAACTAATGTTATTAAGCTTTTTAAATAATTCCTTTCTTTTTATTACTTCATTTAAATGAGGCATTATATTATTAAAATGAATATATAAAATTATAATTTATGAACAATATAAATATATATATATATAATAATTAAAAAGAAACTAAATTATAATAAATTCACATTTTATTTTTTTGTGAAATTATTAAACTTATTTATTAGTTCATTATATAATTCATTTGTTCTTAATGCAAATCTGTGAAATATTTCACTTCTCAACAAAATAGATTTTACTTTTTCTTCAATTACTTTACCACCAATATCATTAAAAAAAAATGGAAACTTTTTCATTATGTAAACATAAAAATAAATAAAATTATAAAACAATATAAAATAAATAATTAAATAAAATATAGAAACAAAAGTAAAAAAAAAAAAAAAAAAAAATGAATAACAAGGATAAAAAATATTACATAAATTAAAGAAAAATCCTAAAGGAAAATTTAATTTTAAAAAAAAATTACAATATTTCTTTTTTTTTTTTTTTTTTTTTTGAAGTTTTAATTTTTAATTTTTTTAATTAAGAATAAAAAACTTATTTAAACTAATATTGATGCATTTATTTTTTTATTTTTTTAAGGACATGAAAGTGCTTACATATATGTATAAGTGTTTTCATATGAGCACTAATTCTTGTATTTTTTTATTATTATTTATAATAAAAAAAAAAAAAATTTTTAAAACAAAATATATTGATATTTACATTATTGAATAAAATATAAATTTTTTTTTTTTTTTTTTGAGAATGAAAAATAATTTATTTTAAAAAAAAAAATAAAATAAAATAAATTATACACGATTTCATGAAAATATACATAATTAAAAATATTCATTTGTTTTTTTTTTTTTTTTTTTTTTGCATTTTTAAATTTTAAACTTTATTTAACTATAAATTTTCTTACTTTTTAGACAATTTTATTTTTAATAATCTTACGTAATTTCTAGTGTATTCATATACTAAATTGTTTATGTTTTTTTTAAATCTAAAATAAATATTTGTGTTTTATTTTTTATTTTCATATATTTGGTGTATATTTTCGTAAATTATAATAAAATATTTTATTTTTATATGTTGTATTTTTTAGTAAATTATAATAAAATATTTTATTTTTATATGTTGTATTTTTTAGTAAATTATAATAAAATATTTTATTTTTATATGTTATATTTTTTAGTAAATTATAATAAAATATTTTATTTTTATGTTTTTTTTTTTTTTTTTTTTTTTTTTTTTTTTTTGTAAGAATAATGAGGTCTTTTTTGTTTTTTTTTTATTTGTATGTTTTCTTCTTTGTTATGATGATATCAAATAAATTTTTATGATTTCATAATGTATATTTATTAAACACAATATGAAATTTAACATTTTTCTTTCGTTTGAATTTCTTTTTTTTTTTTTTTTTATATATTTCTTATTAATACTTACATTTTAATTAAAGAAAAAAAAAAAAAAAATGGAAAATAGGACAATTACGTTAGCTACCGTTAATGACATTGAAAATGACAAAAATGTTGACACACTGAGTATGATAACAAAAATGGATATGAAGTTAAATAATAGCAAAAATGGGAATAATACAAAAATAAGAAATATAAAGTTTGAAGATTCATTAAAAATGAATGAAGAACAAATAAAAGTAAAAGAGGCAGTTTTTATATTACAAAATTTGGAAAATTTTAATTATTCTATTAGTTATTCTGAAATTCAAAATATAAGAAATGATTTACGATTATTTGCCGTTAACAGTTATCATGATAAAAAATATTCAGATTGCTTAATTCAAGCTATTCATTCATACATGATAGCAAAGAAATATTATTCTAAATTTTATGGATTTTTTTTAACAGGAGATATGAGTACAGAATTAATTTTAATTTGTAAATGTTATGTTTTAATTGAAAAATATAAAGAAGGAAAAAAATATTTACAAGAGTTAAAATTTTTAATTGATAATACTTTAATATATACTCACAAAAAGGGTATAATTAATGATCAGAAACAAAAAAAAGAAAAAGAAGAACCTGTTAATGCAAAAAATGGAATATATAATAATAAAAATTTAGATAATAATTATGAAGAACCAATTATATTGTGTGGAGTAGAAGTATTGTCAAATATACTTTATATTTTTGCAGATTTATTAAGTTTATATAAAGAAAATGATGAAGCGGAAAAATATTTTTTAAAATATCTTTATATTATTGAAATGTGTTTTAATAAAGATAGTTTAAATTATAGTGATGCATTAAATGATGTGTGTTCTTATTATATAAAAAATAGAGAATACACAAAAGCATTAGCTATTTGTGAAGAAATATTGGAGATAAGAAAAAAATATTTTGGTGATTATAATTCTGAAAATCCAAGCGAAGTAATTGCTGACTGCTATTGTAATTTGGGATTATTATTAAGATTATTGGGTAATTCTGTAGAATCTTTACATAAATATTTGATTGCAGTAGACGTGAGAATGCGAATTCATAAAACTAGATACACTATAGAAGTTCAAGACATTTTATTTTCTTTTGCTATTATTATGCATCAACTTAATAATTTCAAAATATCCTTACAATTATATAAAGAAGTATATTCTTTTTATAAAAATTATTATGGTCCAGATGATATTAATACTATAATTGCTTATAAGTTAGTTGAAGAACTAGAAAAAGATGTTATGAAAAAATCGGATACAAATGAAATAAATGCTAATTTAGAAGATTATATGGGGAAAATAAATGAAAAATCATTAAGAGATAATAAAATAGATAAAAATTGGAACTCTTTTAGTGATAAATTAAAAAATATTCCAAAAAATGGAGATGTTGATCCAAATCTAATTGAAAATCTTATGAATGAAAAAATTTTAATTAACACAAAAAATCCTCATAAAAATTTGGGAGATAAAAAAACCTTGTTAACATTAGAAGGGAATTTTAGATATAATGATTTAAGTTATTGTAGTATTGATGCATATAAACATATGCAATCAAATAAAGAATTTGAAGTTATAAAAAGTTCTTTTTTTACATCTTCCTCGATTAATAGAGTCAAATCACTATATGCAGATTCTTGGAAAAATACTTTAATTCCTTCCACATATATATTACCTTTTGTTGAAACAAAATTAGTAGATGATAAATTAATTCAATTATCAGAATGCAAAGATTTTCAAAATGCTATTATTTTCAAAAGGAAAATATTACCTATTGTTAATATACCATTAATTGAAAGAGGATATGTAAAATTAGAAAATGATGAACCTATTATGATTTGCAATGAAGACGCCAAAGTTTTATTAAACGAATGGAATATTAAAGAGCCTTTTGTAGATTCTCAAGGTAATGTAATTAGTAAATATGAAAGTTTAGATGAAGAATTTCATATGTTTTTATCTATATTAGATGAAAATAATGATATTATGTTAGGATTTTATAATAATCCTTTATATGTACCAAATCCTGCTATTTATCACTGTATTATTTTAAATGATCCATCTTATTTCGATAAATATAACCATAGTCATAATATATACTCTTATAATTCTTTACAAGAAAATGATAAAAAAAAAAATTCGAAATATGTTGATTTTAAAGATGTAAATTCCAATAATTTAAATTTATATAGTGATAGTGATTCGTCTGATTCTAAGAATAATATCGAAGCTATAAAAAATAAAGATAAACACGATACTAATATATTTAATTCTTTAAAATCTGTTGAAAAAAATATTGAAAATATTAAAACAATAGATGTAATAGATAAAAAATATTCTCTTACAGAAACTGAACTTCTTAAAAAGAAAAAATCTATCGATAATATGAAGGAATTTGTACCAAAAGAAAAACATATAATGGAAATGAAAAAAAATAAATCAAATATAATGTCATCTAAAGAAAAAGTGTTAGAAAATACGTTAAGTAATAATTCATTAAACAATTTAAATAAAAAGAAATCATTTAATGAATTAATGAAAAAGCCCAGTCTTAAAAGTAGCAGTTCTTTATCTAATAAAGTAGTTACAGATAATTATAAAGAAAATATTAATGAGAATGAATTTAATAATTCTTCTAAAAATGATACAAAAAGTAAGTCTTTTTCTGAAGTGAAACCTGATAATATAAAAGAATCAAAAACAAGTGATGTTAAATCAATTTTTAAAAAGAACTCAAAATATTCTACACATTTAAATACAAAAAAAAATAGTTTTAAAGAAAAAAAACATATTTTAAAAATGAAGAATAATAATTCCACAAGATTATTTTCAAAAGAAAAATATGTAGTAAAAAAATTTAGTAAGTTAACCAATTCTTTTAAAAATATGAACGAAAAAAGCAAATTAATTAGTCAGAAAAGCTCAAAAATATTGGATATATTAGAAAAAACTAATAGAAATGTTAAATTTAAAAAAGAGCCAATTGTAAAATCATCTATTGATCAAAATATTAAATTGGATTTACAAAATAATATGAAAAAAATTACTCAATATGATATGAATAACTTGAAAAGAGAAATATATTATGATGATTTTCCATCTAACAACTATACAAATTCTACTAATTTATCTTTTGATGATGATAAGGAGACAGTTGCAAGTTATGCAGAATATGAAAAAAGTAAAAAAATATATTCTTCAAATAATAATACTAGAAATAATCAAGATTTTTGTTTTAAAAGATATCCCATTAATAAAAATAAATTGAAAAACAAAAATAGATTAATTCTTTTTAATGATGAAAATGATGAGGATATAGAAAATTTCAGTGAGTGTAACAAGAACAGTTCTAATGAACTTGTTAATGAGAAGAATTCCAAAGATGTTAAAACAATTTATAACGATTATAATAGTGAATATAATGATGAAGATGTTGTTGATATATATAAAGTCTTTGACGTTAATATGTCATCTGATAATTCTAGTGATGAATCTTATTTTAATTATTCAAAAGAAAAAAAAGATAATCAAAAAAATAACTTATATTCTACATTTAAATCAACTAATAGTAAAAAAAATGAAAAAATGAAAGAAATTAGAAATTATATGTTTTCTAACAGCACATTTAAAGAAAATTCTAAAAATGTAGAAAATTTTAATATGAAGAATATTAATCTTAATGCTATTCAAAATGAAACAATCAATAATAATGCTAATCTTCCTGAAATTAATTTAAAGAATAAAATAAAAAATATTAAAAATGTAAAAAATTATGATATTTTGTTTAAATTTAGTTTTAACAAAGAAGAACCATTTGATAACAAAAATTTTTCTTTGAACAATCTCAAAAGTAATGATATAAGTAAAGAAGAATTAGAAAATGATATATTTTTAAATAATTTAAAATTAAGTGATAAAGGAGTTAAAGAAATATTGGAAGATAGTGAATTATCCACATCTTCAGTTTTACAGAATAAAAGTGAAAAAAGAATAATAAATATAGAAAATAAGAAAGAAAATAAATTAAGTATACATTTAAAAGAAAAAGATTTTTTTTTGAAAAATAATAACAAATCTATATTTAAAAATAATAATTTAAGAGAAATGGATAAAATTGTAGAAGAAATCTTAAGTGAAAATGAAGAATTTTATGATGAAATCACTAAACAAACCCGAATTTATGAGGAAAAAAATAATTTTGACACTCCAAGTAATAGTGAGTTTTCACAAAATAATGATAACAACATTCTCTACAAAAATGAATATATAAATGCAAGTAATAGTGATAAAAATAATAGAATTATTCATAAAGATGAAACCCTTGATGAAATCGATGATCAAAATAGTAATTATGATAAACTTCATGAAAATGATACTAATGATTTAGAAAATGGAGAAGTAACCCTTTCAGATAGATTAGAATGTGAAAAAATAGATGATGTACAAAAGAGCATTTTTGCTGATAATTTATTTTTAAGAAGTAACTCAATAGAAGAACTAGACTCCAATTTAGTCACCAATAAATATAAAAGTAACGATTTGAATATTATAAGAAGTGAAATTAAAAATAATAACATAAACAATATTTTGGAAAATTATCAAGATGAAGTCGATAAAAGTACTGATTCAGATATATATAATAAGAAAAAACATATTAAATTAAATGATAATAATTCTTTAGAAAAGGAAGATAATGTAAAATTAAGTAATACTTATAGTTTAAATACTAAGAAAGGTGAAAAAAATAAAATGAAGAGAGAAGGCAAGTTCAAATCAAATAAAAAAGATAAAATAAAAATGAATAGCTACGATCATTTAGATCATTATGATGATCAAATTCATGTAAATGAAGATTATATTAACAATGAAAGAGTATCAAATATGGAAGAAAATAAAACCAAATTCTCTTTAGATAAATATACATGTAATAATTTAATTAATAGTAGTGATAATATTAACAATACTAATATCATGAATGATATAAATAATATAACTGAACTAGGAAATATAAATCTTGTTGATAATGATATATATAATATAAATGATTTTGATAAAATTAATCATTTGAACGACAAAAAAAAAAAAAAAAAAAAATCATCATATTTTTTGCCTTTAAATAAAAAAATACGAATTTTAAAATTATTTTCCTTTTTTACAAAAAAGAAATATAAAAAAAAAGAAAATTTAAAAACAGACAATGAATATATTAATGATATACCATTTAATAAAGATAGTATAAATTTAAATAATAATTCTGTAATTAATATATCACTAGAAAACAATAATACAAAAACATTAAATGAACTAGATAATATACCATTGAAAGAGAAAAAATATTTTTTTTTATCAGAATCCTTACATGGAATGGAAAAACCAAAGTTAAGCTTAAAAGGAAAAAATTTGACATTAAAAAAACTGACAATGATGAAAAAAGTTTCTTTTACTAAAAAAAATGTTAATGAAAAAAGTGAACCTTTGTCTAGAAGTTCCAGTGTTATAAAATTAGAAGGGAAAGAAAATAACAATGTTATGAAGAAGCAGTTATCAAAAGAAAACATTATATATAAAGGAGAAATAAATGAAAAAAATAACAGTGACACCATCTTGAAACAATTATCAAAAGAAAACATTATATATAAAGAAGAAATAAATGAAGAAAAAAAAGTTTTAATAAATAATATAGAAAATAATTCTACAGTACAAAATTCTGAAAATAATAAAACAAAAGGAATATTAAAAAATATGGAGCAAAAAAATATTCCAAAAAGTATAATAAATAAAAAGGAAAATAATGAAAATATATTAAATAAAACAAATGTTGTAAATGATATTAAAAAAAATATTGATAGTAATAATAATAATGAAGTTAAAATTGCAAAAAATATAAATGATAAGTTATCATATGATTTATTAAAAAGAATAAAATTTTGTAAAATTGGATATGAAGATGATGATTCATTAGGAACTTTACCAGTTGTTCATTTATTGAATGAAAATAAAGAAGTTATTGCAATTGTCCCATGGCAAATTGATCTAACTTCTTTCACTTTAGCAAAATCATCAATAGAAGAAGAAACAGTAAGAAAATTAGGTCTGTTGTCTAGAAAATTAGAACTAACAATAGATGAAAGAAAAAAAGATATAGAAAAAGAAACAAAACTACTAAGTGGAGAAGGGTTAAAAGAATTAGGTCTATTAGAGACTTCAGGAATTTCTAAAGGTCCTATACGCGGTGAAAATTTAATATCAGGAATTGATTTGAATGCAATAAAAACTTCATATAAAATAGTAAAGAAAAGTGAACCTAAAGAAAAGGTAATGAAAGCACCAAAAGAACCCCCTAAAAGTACACAAAAAGCAAAAGGGGGAAAAAAAGAACCACCGAAATTTATGAAAGGACCTCCAAAAAATATAAAAGGTGGGCCTATATTAGGAAAAAGTAAAGTTGCTAAAATGAAAAATGTAAAAGATGAAGGAAAAACAAAAAGATTTTTCTGGGAGGCTTTATTTGAAGATGATATAAAAGGAACTTTATTTGAAGAAAAAAAAGATTTAATAAAAAAAATTGCAATAGAAAAAGAAAATGTAGAAAAGTGCTTTGCTAAAGCTGTTAGTAAAAAAGAAGAAAGTAAAGAAGCGAAAATTAAAAAACCAAAAGTTATACAATTATTACCAGATTCTAAAAGAGAATATAATATGTCTATCGCTTTATCAAAATTCAACAATTATACATTTAAAGAAATTAGAGATGCAATTATGGAGTTAAATCCTACAATACTTAATTTAGATAATACAGAAGTTTTAATGCAGTATGTTCCTACCGCAGAAGAAATTGAAATTGTGAAGGAATATATTAATTCTAATGGTGATTTAAATTTAGTAGACAAACCAGAACAATATGTTTCTGCTTTGATTGGGGTTCCATTACTAAAACAACGATTAGAATCTCATTATTATGCTCTTTCATTTAAAGAAAATTATGAAAATACTTTAAATCCATTAGAATGTATATTAGAATCATGTGAAGCTGTTAAAAATTCGGTAAAACTGTTTACTATTTTATTCACAATTTTAAATGTAGGTAATACATTAAATTTTGGAGATTCTCAAAGAGGTAATGCTTTTGGTTTTAAGTTAACGACTTTAGCTAAATTAAATGATATAAGATCGAGTACCAAACCTATTAGAACATTATTGCAATACATTTGTGAAATAATTTTTGAAAAAGATGCGGAAATCTTAAACATAATTGATGAATTAAGATGTATTGAAAAGGTTGTTAAAACGGAAAAGCAAACAATTGATGCTCTTCTGCAGAAATTAAAACTAGGCTCTAATAAAATTAAGAATGTTTTAGAACTAGCTAAAAAAAATCCATCTGATCCTTTATATGAAGCTCTTACAGAATTCTATTCCAGTGTTGAACCAAAAATTGTAGAATTGGAAAATTTTTACAATCAAACTTTTGATGTATTCAAAGAAGTAGCTCTTTATCTCGGTTATAAAGAAAAAGAAGTTAGTAATATTCAAGTTCATGATTTTTTTAAACAATTATGGAATTTTATCCAATCTGTTGAATTCAACAGAAAAACTTTAAATGAGGCTGTTATAAAAAAATTAAAAAAACAAGAACAAGCATTAGCAGTAGAAAAGCAAGGAGTTTCTCCAAGTAAAAAACAAAATTTTACTATTATTAAGAAACAGACTAAAGAACCAACTGCAAAACCAACAAAGAAAACATTTAAAATTTTTTAACTTAAAAAGAATTTTTATTTTTTTTTTTTTTTTTTTTTTTGTGAAAATTTGAACACTTTTTTTTTTATTTGTTATACTTTTAGTAAATATTAAATTATTTCAATGAAATTTTTGTTAAATTTTTCCTTTTTTCATGAAACATTTTTTGGTATTTTTTTGTTTACATTTAAAATATCTTTTTTTTTTTTTGTATTCTTTTAACTGTTGCAGATTTTTTTCATAAAATATTTTCATTTATCCGTAGTACTATCCGCTGTAAAACACATGATTTTAAAATAAATTTAAGAATTTTTTTTTCTAACATATTACTTTTTTAAATTTTTATTTTTATTCAAATATATTTAAATAAAGAATAAAATATAAATAAGCAGTTAGAGTATACTTCAGCAAATTATGTATTAGAAAATTTAAAAAAAAAAAAAAAAAAAAAAAAAAAAAAAAAAAATAAAGTTAAATATCCATTTTCTAATTTTTACAGAAAACAAAGAATAATAATTCTTTTTCTTTATTGATAATTTTTCTTTATTCTCCATCTAAATTTTTGTATAATTTTCAAAAAAATATGAATGTGTAAATATATATTTATAAATTTATGTTAAATTTTCTTTTATATTAACTTTGTAGCTGCTGGTGTAATTGGGAAATCTCCATCAGGACATTCATCAAATAAATTTAAATGATCACATTTCCTTTAATATAAAAAAAAACAAAATTTCAATTATGAAATTCATATTCGAAAGTTATATTTATAAATTTCATATAAAAGTTTAGTGTTCTACATTAAAAAAATCATAACAATATTTTGTGAATTTCTTATCTTTTAATTTTCTTACCACCAAGCCTTACATTTTAAACTCCATTCTTCTAACATTCGAATATTATAACCAGAAAAATTCATTTGAAAATTACAAGGACCATTATATAATTCTGAAGGCTTACAAGATCTTATGGTATCTTTAACTTTGTTCCATTTTTCTATTAGAAAAATCAAATATTAAATTTTTTACACATATATTTATATATATAAATTATTTAAAAAAAAAAAAAAAATAAAAATAAAAACATAATCATTCAATAAATATGTGCATATATAACCTGGACAAAAGTAAGTAAAATTTCTTACACACTTTTTACATGGCCAAAATGCTTGACATTTATTAGACCAAGTTTCTTTTATTTTTTCAGACATATTTTTTATATTTAATTCTTCACCCTTGCATGGACCTAATGAACAAGTTAAAAAAAAAAAAAAAAAAAAAAATTATACACACAACTGTAAATAATTTACAAAATAAATATTTTATTTACGTATTTTTTTTTTTTTTTTCTAACCATTGTATAATGATGAAGGGGCGCATATTTCATCTTCAGTTTCATGAACAGAACCAATATAATTATAATCCTAAAAATATTAAAATACTTAAATAAAAAGTAATAAAAAAAAAAATATGTAAACTTCTTTTTAACATTTGGACAAGGTAAATTGTAATCTTTCTCACAAATAATCACAGGGTCTATTAAATTATCTTGATTTACTATTAAATATTGGAATAAAAATTTTATAAAATGAAAAAATGTTTATAATAAAAGAAAATATATATTTATAATATATCTTTAAAAATTAATGAGAATATTCTCTAAAATTAATAAAAAAAAAAAAAAAAAAAATATAATTTCTTTAGTACATTGAATAATTGGTGGAGGAATATTTTTTAACCCTTTTATTAACTATAATATTTAAAAAAAAAAAAAAATCAAAAAATTTATTATTAATATAAATACATTTTGCAAATATAATAATTTTATTTTTTTTCATATAATTAAGTTTTTATTAACATATCTTAATATATTAATCATAATATATATTTGGTATCACATATATATAAATTGTTATAATTACATTTGCAGCTATATTAGAATCAGGAGTTTCATTCTGTTCTTTTGATGGCGCATTTGAAGAACTTGTAATAATATCACCTAAAAATTTTTTATACTTATTTTTTTTTTTTTTTTAATGTAAGAATAATATTTCTATGAGCATATATGTTCATTATTTTTTTTATTATGATCTTTTTAAAGATAATGAATTTCAAAAATTTTTATAAGAATTTATAAAAATATTATTTTTTATTTTTTTCTAATATTCCTATTAAAAATATTTAGATTTTCTCTTTTTTTTTATATACCTGCACTTCCACCTATATTTTCTAACTCTCTATTTGAAAATATTTCGTCTTTCTTTTATGTTTATTTACATATTTTATTTTAGGATAAAAAAAAAAAAATTTTAGGTTAACATCTAAAATTTTCACATAATTTTCTTTTTTTTAATTATGGTAATGTATTTTATTTTTTTTTAAGATTAATAATATTTTTATTATTGTTTTATTTCACTAATAATATATATATTTTTTTGATGATATTTATTTAATTTTGTAATATCAGTAACATATGTTATTACTAATATACATAATATATATATATATTTTTTATTTTTTTTAAGAACTTACTTTTTCTCTTACACACATATTTATTTTAAAATAAAAAATAAGAAAAAATAGGTATAAAAATAATTTAGTCATTTTTTTTTTTTTTTTTTTTAGAATATTATAATTCTGTATATATTGAAAAATTTTTATGTTATATTTTAATTTATTTTTTAATATTTATTATATAGATATAATATTCTCAATTAAAAAAAAAAAAAAAAAAAAAAAAAAAAGATAATAAAAAATATATTTTATATTATGCTATTTTCCTTTTTTTATAATTGTAACATTTTTATATACAATCAAATTTATGATTAGGTAAGTGTGTATTTACACTTAACAATTTTTATATATATATATGTGATATTCTTATATTAACATATTTATATTTATAAAAAAGCAAAATAAAAGAAAAAAAAAAAAAAATTAAAAATCAACAAAAAATTAATTTAGTTGATAAAAATTGTTACAAATAATTAAAAAATAAAAAATAATTGAAACAATATGCTAACAAGAGGAAAAGTTATTGTATTAATTTTTTTATTTTCAACAATTATCTGGATAAATGTGTATGACAAATATAAAAACTCAAATTCCTTAATTAAATGGATTTATGTAAAATGATTATATAAAATGAGAAAAAAAAATAAAATAATAAAATAAATATAAATAAATTATAATTTTTTAATATAAATTCATAACTTCAATAAAAGTTTAATTTTATTTTTTTTTTTTTAATTTATAGATTCCGTTGTATTTAATTACTATATTAGCAATTTATGCCATTATATGTATATCTATAAATCTTTATAATTTTAATAACATTCCTAATGGACATGAGGAATTATTAAAAGTAAAAAACAACAAATATTTATAAAAATTTTCATAATATACATAATATTTTTAATTTTGATTATTTCATTTTTACAATTTGAATATTAAAATGCTCTAATTTTATTATTTCATTTATATCCTTTATAATTTTTATGTTTTTTAATTATCATTTTTCAAGGAATTAAGTCATATTAAAAATGAATTGGAAAAAAAAAATTTTACTTTTGATTAAAAAACAAAACTTTCGAAGATTAATTTATTTTCTTTTTATCAAATAGCTATTCCCCTCCCTCCCTTTTTGTATACGATATAAAAGAAATAATATAAAACATAAGGAATGTTTTAATTCATTATTTTTTATTTTTATTTATTTTTTTTTTTTTATTAAAAAATTATTAATATTGTTTTTTTGTTTTTTTTATTTTACTATATTTTATTGTATATTATAAAAAAAAACCTTTTAAGACAATATTTTTTGGTGAAAAAGAAACTGGAAAAGAATGTAAAGACAAATTAATTTTTTTTTTTTCTTTTATATTACTTGTTTTTTGAAACATTTTTTGTAAGATATAAAGTCTTAGTGTATTATAAAAGTACATACATTTAAAAGATATTTCTTTATTTTCACTTTCACATAATTTAGATAATAAATTTATAAACGAATATATATCGGGTATAATTCTTCTGATCAACTTTTTTTCATATTTATCATACTTTTTTATATTTTTTTCATTACTATCTTTTTCTAATTCTAATTTATCTTGATAAGAAATAGTGTGATTGCTTTCTTTCAAAGAATTTTCGTTTAAAATAATGTCTTTTTTTTTATTTACATTATCTAGGATATCCGTATTTTTATTAATTACATTAGAGTTATAATTATTACCTATATTATTATTTTTGTCATTAGTATCATTAGTAATATTAGTAGTATCATCATTTTTACGATTTATTCCATGGTTTCCCTTTATATATTCACATGTAATATTGTTCATATAAATATTATAATTCTCATTGTAAATATAATTTTCAATATCATTTATTATCATTTCATTTTTAAAATCAAATATATATTTTCTTAAATCTCTATATTTCGTATAACAACAAGAACATATTAAAAAGGGAATTTTTTCATCAATACATTTTTTTAACGTGTAATCAGTTAACCCCCCACAACAATGCAAACCAACTATTAAATTAACTTTGTATTTTTTAAAATCAAAGTTCAATATTGATTCATTAATTATTAGAATATTCCTAATTCTATTAGAATATATTTTTAAAAAACAAGTAAAAAGAGAATTAACATTAATATCTAATATGATGACTAAAACATTTTTAAATGCTAATGAAATGTAAATACCTAAATCCCCTTTTCCTCCTCCTACATCTAAAATGCAAAACTCATATGTTTGGTTATTAGTTTGAAAATTATTACTTATTTCACTTAATTCATAGTTATTAAAACTTTTATCACTGTCATAATTTTCTTTATTCATTCCATTTATATCACAATTGTTATCATTTTTTTTATCGTTATAATCGTCAGAATATATCTCATTTAAATGATAATAATTATTATTTTTTTCAAAATCATTTTTTTTTCTATTGATTTTTATTTTTTCGTTTGAGTCAACAATATTGTCTAAATAAAATTCTGTAATATTGTAAAATTCTGCATTTTTCCATTTTGAATTTTCAAAAATATTTCCATTCTTCTTAGTGCTTTGCTGAATATAATTTTTAATCTTTTTTACATTTTCTTCATTAACTAATTTATCATTTTTTTGAATAAATAAATTTAAAAATTGTAAATAATTATCATAAAAAGTATTATTATCTTCAATATACTTGTTAACTAACATACCTATAGACAAAATAGTATTTCTACAAAAAAAAAGTGTGTCATTTGTATTTTCTTTCTTTATTTCACTTAGTAATTTTTTTATATGATTAAACATCCAGTATATTTGTGGAATTTTTTTTTTGCTCATGTAAAATGTCATATCTTTATTTTTTTTTTTTTTTTTTTTTTTTTTTTTTATNATTTTCTTTCTTTATTTCACTTAGTAATTTTTTTATATGATTAAACATCCAGTATATTTGTGGAATTTTTTTTTTGCTCATGTAAAATGTCATATCTTTATTTTTTTTTTTTTTTTTTTTTTTTTTTTTTATCTTTAATATCTGGACTAAAAATACAATCATTAATTAAAATATTATTAAATGTATTTTCATCCAAATAATTAAATACTTCATCATCATCTTTTGAACAAATAGTATTAAAAGTAAATTTACTTTTATGTATTTTAAATAATTTAGGTAAAACATCAATAACTTTTATTATAAAAATTTCAAAATTATTCATTTTTTGATTTGATATACTTTTGTAATTCTTATTTTTGTATACAATATTAAATATATATTTATTTTTTTCTTTATCACTTTTATTATAAATATTAAGAATGTAATTCTCCGTCATCCTCAAACTTCTACATAATGTTAACATAGATATAGAGTTTTTTTCAAATAATTTGAAAAGTTCACTAATATTGAAATATTCATAATTTACCTATAAAATAATATTTAAATTACATAATTTATTAATGAAAAAATATATATAAATATATATGTATATATATTTACATTTTTTTAAAAAGAATATAAAAAAACAATTTTCTTTTCTTTTTTCATAAATATATAATATATATGAAATCTATAATTTTATTAAAAATAAAAAAAATATTATACAATCTATAAATATTATTTTATTTTTCTATATTCATTTTTATTTATCTTATTTTTCTTGTACTTCAAGTAGATAAGAAGAAAATACAATTATAGATTTTTCATTGGTATTTGTTAACGCTGGTAATCCTATAATATATATTAACGAATCTGTTTTAATAATTTTATTAATATTTTCATGTTTTATGTATTCATTAATTAACAATAATGGAAGATTGTTTAATTGATCATCACTTGATGATTCTGCATATCTATTTTTCTGCAAATTACTATAAAAATATTTACTTAAATTAATAGAATTATAAAAATTCTCCTCATTTATATTAATTTCATCATTTTGTTTATTTTTTTTGTAAAATTTGTTCATTAAATATTTTTGATATAAAACTAATTTTTCCTCATCGATGTAAAATTTTTTATTAATTATTATCTGTACATTATCTTCTGTTTTAATAACTTCTTCACTAAACATATTTTTAATAAAATAAAAACTATCATTATAATTTAAAAAATGATATTTATAAAAAAATAAATTTTTTTTTTCGTTTTCATTATCTTTTGTTATAGTGTCATAAAAATATAAGTATTTTCCATGTTTTCTCACATTTTTTATTTTACAAATTAAATGAACAAAATTATTAAAATTATAATTAAAGTCGTCTGCGTTAGTTAAGTTTTGAAATTCTACCTCTTTTTCTTTATAAATACTTATATCATTCACAAAATAACCTGTTTTTTTCTCATTTTCATTCATCTTTTATTTGTTATGAATTCATATATCTAATTTTAAACATTAAGACTATTAAAGGATGTTTTCTTTAATTTTTATATATAACAATATGTAATTAAAAAAGTTAGCAAAATGTCAGTATTTTAATATATATTATAAAAAATAATTTAAAATTAATATTTAAAAATTTTAAAAAGATTAAAAGCCTTAATTTAAAATTATATAATGTATATTTCTACATAAATGACGTAAAAATAAAAAGCCTTTTTTATATTAAAAAAAATAATCATAAGAATAACACAAAAAAATAAAAAAAAAAAATTAAAAAATATATAAAATGAGAAGTTACAAATAAAAAAGTTTATATGTTTTCAAATAAGGGAAAAAGAAAAAAAAAAATAAATAAATAAAATTAAACAAAATAAAATTAAACAAAATAAAATTAAACAAAATAAAATTAAACAAAATACGAAATAAAATAAAATTAAAAAGTATAATAAAAAGAAAAAAAAAAAAAAAAAAAAAAAAAAAAGTATAAATATTAATATGAATTTATATAACTGAATAAAATATATTTTAAAATAATAATAGAATCTTAAATATTTTCAAATAGAAAATAAATAAAAAATAATAAAAATGAATTTTAGAAAGCATGAAAGTACGGCTGATTTAATAGATAGTATAATAAATAGTGAAAATGGGAAAGTTCAAAAATACGTTTTAGAAAGAAAAAGAAAAGAGAAAGAATTTATAGAAAAAAAAGAAAATATAAAAAAAAAAGCCTTAATGGCACCAAAACTAAATCAAATGTTTGTTATTAATAAAAATGATGATGATAAATTAATTAGCGAAACAATTGGTCTTAGAACAGTTCATGAATATAAAAAAATAAAGGATGAAATTTATAGTAAAAAAAGAAATAAAGATTTAAATGAAAATATTGAAGAAAATAAACATAACAAAAATAGAAATTTCAATTTGTCCTTTTGTACTGATGAGGAGAATGATGAAGATGATGAAGAAGAAAAAGAAGAAAAAGAAGAAAAAGATCAAAAGAGAAAAATTCAAAATTCATATAGCAAGGATAATGTATCCAATGAATCTAGCTTAGAAAAAAAAATAGAAAATAGTGGAAATAATTCAGAAAAAAATGTAAAAGAAGATTTAAGTGATATAAATAATAATAATGATATAACATATAAAAAAGAAAATAATTTCAAAAAAAAAATTATTAAAGATCCTACGGTGAATACATCTTTTTTAAAAGATAAGGAAAGAGATGAAAAAATAGAATTAAAAAAGAAAGAGTTAAGAGAATTATATTTTAAATTAGAAAATGAAGAAAAAGAAAAAATTATAGAAATAACCTATTCTTATTATGATGGTTGTGGTCATAGAAGAAAGATATCAGTAAAACAAAAAACAACAATAGGTCAATTTATTAATAAATGTGTTGAAAATTTAAAGAATGAATTTATTCAATTGAGATCAGCTTCTTGTGAAACCTTAATTTTTGTAAAAGAAGATATTATTTTACCAAATTATTTAACATTTTATGAATTAATTAAAAATAAAGCTCAAGGAAAAACAGGACCATTATTTGTTTTTGATGCAGTAGAAAATTTATCAGGAATTACAGATATAAGAAGAGAAAAAACAGACGTAAGAAAAAAGAAAAAATAATTAACATAAATTAAAAAATACAATTAATATTGTCTACATAAAAAGATTATTTATTTTAATTATATAAAAAAAAACAAAAAAAAAATACAAGAAAAAATTATTTAAATATAAATGAAAAAAAAAGTAAATCATTGTAATTTTCTTTTTTTTTTTTTTTTTTTTTTTTCAGACACACGCAGGCAAATTGGTAGAAAAAAAATGGTATGAAAAAAATAAACATATTTTTCCTGCATCTAAATGGGAACTTTATAAGCCATTAAAAACATATACAACTAGTTATAATGATTTATTTAATAGTTTTATATAAATGAATCTTCTTTATTTATTTTTTTTTTTTTAAATATTATAAATTATTTAAATTATTTAAATTCTGTATTTCATTTTTTTTTTTCTTTTTTTTTTTTTGTACTCTTTTAAGAACAACTGTGCCTATATCTACAAAAATATAAATTTACAACATTAAGTAATATTTGTGTTTTAAGTTATCATTTGGATTTATTTATTCAAAAATTCTTATTTTTATTAGTGCAATAAATAAAAAATATATTTATGTATATTTAATGAAACGATGTAATTAATATATATATATATATATATATATATATATATATATATATATATATATATATACTTGGGAATAACTGAAAAAATATATGATTCTTGTCATTTGAATTTTTATTTAAATCTCTTAACTTATACAAGAATGTGTTAATATTTTTTTGTTCATAATTTTCATCATATTTTATTTTGTTTTTATCAATTTCATTTATTTTATATTTATCTTTAATTTTTTTAGCAATACATTCTCTTACATATATCTATAAAAAATCAAAAGATATTTTAAAATATAACAACTTTTAGTATTTAAAAATAATGTATAAGGTGTTTTTGTAAATAACATTATTTATTAAAAAATTTTAAAAAATATTTTCAGAAAAACTATCACAAAAAGGTACTATAATTTAAAATACATTATAAAATAATTGTGATAAAACATTTAGTTATATAATAACTATAATTTTATGTCAGTTATAATATTAACTATTAAAAATAGCAATATGTTAATATATATATAAAGACAAATAATATAATAGTATTAATGAAAAACTCATATTATTTTTTTTTTTTTTTTGATTTTGTTGTAATTAAAATTATTTTTATTATTTTTTTTTTTTTTTTTTTTTTTTTTTTTTCTTTCTTTTTTTTTTACATCTCTAAAACATTTAAGATTCTTAACTATATTTGCAAATATATTTATCATTTCTTGTCTAAACTTTTGATAGTTCCCATTAAAAACTTTTTTGTAAATATATTGTGACTTTGATATAAATCTATCAATAGATGTTTTCTGAATTTCTATGTAACCTAAAAAAAAAAAAAAAAATATATGATAAGAATATTTTTTTTTAAAAAATGATACATGTCTTTCTTTACAATTTTTTGTTAGAAGTTAACCATTTTCAAATAAAAAGTTATATATTTTCATATATTGTTCTTTTGTTTTTAAACGAATTATATAATTTATATTTTTTGTTATAAATAATAGTTGAGTTATCGTTTCTGGTATAAATGGAGATATTAGTACACACTGATTATAAATATAGTCTGTATCTTTTTTTGATATTTTATAAGGATTCTATATAAAAAAAAAAAAAAATAATAAATGTAGAAGAGAAATACATTAATAATAACTAGTATTATTTTTAAAAGTATTTCTATATATAGTTAATTAATTTTTTTTTTTTTTTTTTTTTTTCTTCTTTTTCTTTTTCTCTATACTTTTATTTCATCAGAATTTTCTTTCTTGTAAAGTATATTAGAAACATCACAACTTTCTAAAAAAACTTCATCATTATTTTTTTGAGATAGTTTTTTTTTATTATCTTCATTGTAATATAAATCTATATTCATTTTATTTTTTAAATAATAATGAAAGAAAAAATCATTAGTGGATGAATCATATATATTTTTTCTAATCTTTATATTGGAACCACTTTTCATTTTTATATATTTTACATAAAGACTAAAATATAAATATATATCTTTTAACATATAATATAAGTAATAAAATAAAATGAACGAATATATAAATAGAGTAATAAAAGAAAGAAGTATTCTTAAGGTTATATTATACGTTATTATTCTTATTTGCTCTAGTTGTAAATTAAAAAAAAATAAAAACATAATAAAAAAGCTTTCTAATTTCAAATTATAATTTTTTATTTTAATAAAAGGGTTAATGAATAAAGATAAGCAAATCAAAAAAAGAAATAAAAAAGATACGTAAACTAGACAACTTAAGAAATCAGGTAATTGAATTGTAGATATAAATAAAATATTTATAAACAATATTTTTAGAATAAAGTAATAGCATTTATTTTTATTATATAAAAAAGTGTAAAATCCATATATATACTTATATTTATAATAATCTTGAAAATTATATGTTATTATAAAAATATAAATAAATAGGACTAGGTAAAATAAAAAGCAAAAACACAAAATGATAGGTATAGTCATAAATTTAGTCATTTTAAAATGAAAATTGTTATAACACATTGTAATAGTATCATAATAAGATATATAATAACTAAATAAACCAATACATATATGAGATGAAATAAAGATAAAAATAATAATTGAATTACATACGTATAAAGTTATAAATATAAATTGATAATAAACTATTTGAAAAGACGTTTTTAAAAAATCAATGGTATCATTATAATAAAAAAATTTTACGTTTACATAATTGCAAAAAACATAATTAGGTAGAAATAATGGATATAAAAAGAAATATTTAAATTTTTGTATTTTTTTTTTTTTTTTTTCTATTTCATTATTGCTATTTAATAAATTATCTTCATTTAGTAAATTGTCTCCAATCTTTCCATAATCTTTTAGTAAGTTAATTCCCTTTTTTCTTAAGTATAAAAAAATGAAGTTGCATATTAAGGTGATGCTAATAAAGATTAACAAAATGAATACAAAAATAAATACTTGTAATGTATGTATTTTAGAATTTCTGTTATTAGAATAAAAACAGTCTATTTTGAAAAAGTTTATGAAGTTTAAATGAATAATTTTAATTAAATCAAAAAAAAAGTTATGCATATAAATATTAAGAAGATAATGAATTTTTATATTGCCATTGTATAAATATAGTCCTTTATAATTTTTTTTTTCATAAGAGTTGTAATGCTCTTTTTCATTTTCTGTTATATCATTTAATATACTTAAGATAAAAATAAGAGATAAATAAAAAGTGAACTCACGAAAATAATGCAAAAAATATATTGTTCCCTTTTCATAAATATTAAAATGATGAAAATAAAGGCTAATATTTATGTATTTTAATAATATGAAAAAAAATATAAATAATATAAAACAATATATTATAATAATTAATAAAATAACTATAATTTTATAACACCTCTTACATTTAGAATATTTTAAATATATATTTTTAAAATATTTTTTTATGCAATTATTACATATAAATCCCTCATTATATTCTGAACATTTCCCACAAATGTCTAAACAGATATCTGCTCTTTTACAATAAATATAAACATTATTCATAAATGGATAGATATTTTTTTTATCTTGTTTTATTAAGCATCTATCGAAATTTTTAAAAGGAAATTCTTCTTTTTTTTTAAAAAAAAATGCTTCTATATCATCTATGTATAATTCATTTAAATTATTTTCACAATAGAAATTATTATTTAAATCAAAACAGCTATCACAACTATTATCCATGTGATTTAAATAATAATTACTTTCACATGAGCAGTCATAAATATATTTTGAAGAAGTTCTGTTATTTATACTAGAAGGAGGACAATTAAAACATATTTCAGAATTTTTATAATTTGAATAAGTGTTTTTTTCACATGGAAAACAACTATTATTTTTAAAATATTCTCCATAATTACAAAAATTTGAAGAACTTAAAATAAAATTATGTAAGAAGAAGATAGTATAAATATAAAATGTATACAAAATTTTCATTGTAACGTATTTAGAATTTTTCTTAAGATTTGTTACAAAAAATATATATATATATATATAAAACTAGTATATTAATATAATTATTTTTTATCATAAAAAAATTAGTTTCGAGATTTTTTTTTTTTTTTATTAAGAGTATTGTGTAAATGTTGTATGGGATAAATTTATATACATATAAAAAAATGTTCTTAAATATATTTAAGACAATTTTTTGACAAAATTTTTCAAAATATTTTTAATTTTATATATATTATTCATTCCTTTATTTCTATTGCTTTTTTATAAAGATTCAAAATTAAGTAAATCTTTATTATTTTATTTATTATTTTTATATTTTTTATTTTTTATTTTTTTTTTTTATATGATAGGGACATATATATTTAAAAGTATTAAGTACATAATAAAATAAAATAAATTTTATTATATTTTTTTATGATATAAATTTAAATTTATATTTTCATTTTTTATTTATTTAATTTTATAAAATTATAAAAATTAGAATTTTCTAAAACATATTATTCTTTTATTCTTAACAATTTTAAAAAGTAATTTTTACAAGATAAAATGAAAATATAACAGTCCTTATATATTATTTAAGCAAATATAAAAGAAAAACTTTAATGTAGAAAAAATTTTTGATAAAGTAAAAATAAGAAAATGAAATATTCATATTATTAAGTACTTTTTTTTTTTTTTTTTTCCTTAATAGATAAATGTTCTGTTTCTTTATAAATTGAAAGAGAAAATGACTTGAATTTTTTTTTTTTTTTCTTTTTATCCTTTTTTTTTGGTTAATTAAATGTTTAAAAAGTATCAGAAGATATTATATATTGTATTATTTATTTAAAAATGATAAAAAAAGCTACAAATATTTTATGCTTTGATTATTATATAATCAAAAATGACAAATATTTAAGAAAGTGGCCATTAATTGAATTCAAAAGATATTTACATTTAGCAAATATTTATTACTCTTTTATAAATAAAAATAAGAAAATTAATTCAAATATATATAATATGAATTGTGTAGAAATATATAAATATAGTTGTTTTTTACAAAAAGGGAATATTAATAATGCAAATATTTATAAAAAGATTAACAAAAGAGTAGAAATGATATATAAATTTTTAACTCCGTCAAAAATTATATTGTTAATTAGATTATATTTAGAAAATTCAAATTTAAATATATATCGTAATACTTTTAACTGTCTTATAGAAGGAACGCTAACAAAGTTAAATGAATTTAATCTGGATGAAATAGTTAAATTGTATAGTGTAATTAGTAAGATAGAGAATAATCAAACCATTGTTTATCTTTTTAAATATTTTAATAATCATTTAATTAATAATTATACATATATTGATGTGAAGTCTTTTACAATAATTTTAAATTCTCATGCAAAATTAAAAATTAGAGATATTAAATTAATAAACAAATTCTTAAATATCATATTTCAAAATAACTTATCTTTTGATATTATAAATTATTCAATTTTGTTCAATTCTTTTTATAAGCTAAGGATAATTGATAACGATTTCATAAATAAATTAGTTATGCAATTTTTAAATGAGATAGATATTTGGATTAAAAATCGACAACAGGCAAATTTAAAAGATGATAATTGTTCTAATAAGGAAAAATTAATAATAAATAAATTCATTAATTATTACCCTCATCATATTTGTAATATTCTGTTGTTTTTTACCATTTATAACATTAATAAAATTGCTAACTTTAATTATTCAAAAGAAGATGAAAATGAAATAAATTTCAATAATAACATTTATATAAACTTTTTATTTGAGTTACTAATTGAAAAAAAAAATTTATTAAAGTGTGAAGAAATTTTAATTTTATGTCAAGTTTTAAAATCTTTTAAGATAAAAAACAATATTTTAACTAATCACATAGAAAAGGAATTAATAAATTATTTTAATTATATAAAAGAAGAAAAAAAACACTTCAATAAAATTCAAAAATTAAAAAATATAAATGATATTATTCTATTTAATGATGATGCAGTTATAAAAGTTTTATTTGATCTTTGCACGTTTTACAACGATATAAATATATATTATGAAAGTGTACAATATTTTCTTCAAAGAAAGAAAAAAGTTGATTTTAATTCATCTTTATTATTATTATATATATATTCAGAAATAAATCATATTGATTGTCAAATGTTTAATTTATTAATTCATGTTTTAAATAAAAATTATTTGAAAAATTTCCAAGTAGAAAACATATGTCTCTTAATTAGATCTTTTTATAAATTAAGTCTAAACAATCAACATTATTTCAAATACAACCAAATTAAAGAAAAAAATATCCGAAATCAAAATGAAAATACATTAGCCAACGATATCAGTAATCCAAATGTAGATAATTTTTATAAAGTATCTAGCTTAAATAGCTCAAATAATTACGATAATAAAAATGTAATATGTGAAAATCTTCATGAAAAAAATACACTAGATGATAAGGAAATAGTTTGTTCTAATGAATATTATTTTACTAAAACTTCTAAAAATTTAGATGATATATTTTATAAAATTCATATGTTATCTGATAACGTTTATTCTAAATTAGAAAAAGAATTATTAGAAAAAAAAATAGAATTAAATGAATCTAATATAAGCCAACTATGTAAGATATTATATTACTCGGTTTTTTTAAGAAAATTAACATTTCTTAATAATGTAATTAATATATTCATAAATAAAGAAGATATAAATGGATTTAAAAATATTTTAAATATTTTATATTCCTATTGTTATGTTAAAAAAAATTTGTACATTAATTTAAATGAAATACGTCTTCTAAAAGAAAATAAAAATTTTTCAAAAAAATGTGATCATGTGTTAAAAAATTATAATTATCTAATAAATAAAAGAGGTTATAATAATGAACTAAAAAATATGATATATTTTATTTTTATACAATGTAAATTGAATGATTACAGTTATATTAATGTAGACTTTATAAATGTATTACTTAACTCTTTTTTTTTAAATATACATTTATTATCAATATTACTTAATAGTCTGATTTGCAAAGATTTAAATATTTTAATTAATTTTCCTAAAGATAATCAAAGAGAAGAAATGTCAAAAATATATAATATGGATTTTTGTAATGATTTAAAGAATAACACTCTTATATTAATTAAAAATGTCGATATTTTTTATGATATGAAACTATATAATCAAATTTTATTACAAATTAATAAACTTATTTTGAAATGCCAAAACATTTATGATATAACACGAATTTTTAATTCTTCGTTCATATTTTTAAACTATATAGAAAAATGTAAAAATGAAAATAAATTAGATTATGATATTTTACAAGGAGAAAAATATATACACTCTATATTAAAAAAAATAGAAAAAAATTTTATAGAAAATTATAGTTTATATAATAATGAATATATTATACTATTATCAGCTATATCTATATACAATAATAATTATTTTTATATCCCTTTTTCATTTTTTTTTGAGTATTTTAATTTTTATGCCTTTAAAAATTTCATATCATATTTAATATTATTAAGTAATGATGAAGAAATTAAATATATCTCCAATTGTATATTTTCCATGATTAATTATTCCAAATGTAAAAAATATAATAAAAAACAAGATATAGAAGATTTTTATTCTTTTCATATATCTCAAATTATAAATAATATCAAAAACAGTAATGATAATAGCTTAAGTTCCTTTAAAATCAATAATATAGTGAATATATATAAATTAATGTTAATTAATAACGACATTTTAAATAATTCTTTTTTTAAAAAAATTAAAGATCTATATTTATTCTCGTTTGAAATTAATTCTATTTTACTGAATAATCTTTCATTAAATGAATTAAATAATTTTTGCTTGTTACTTGTAAAAAAAAAAGAACCAAATACATTTTTATTTAAATATGTTTTAAAAAAGAATTATGAATATCTGAATTCAAAAAATGAAGTATTAAATTATGATTATATTATTAATTTATTAAATATTTCTATAAATTTAAAAAAATATAATTTTTCAGTAAATGATCAAATTATAATTAATACTATATTAAAAAATGTTGAAAATTTTAAAACACTACATCAAATAAATACACTTTTACAAAACATATATTTAATTAAAACTGTAAATGATTATAATAATTTAATAAAAGAATTATTTTTTTATGTTAAGAAAATATACATGAACTATTTTGTAAATAATGAAACAATCAATTTAAATGAAGTTGTGTATTTGTTATATTTATCATATAGTTTTAATAATTCTGAAATTTTTTATAATATGTTTCAATTATTTGGAGAAAAATTTTTTAAATTAAAAAAAATTATTGTTCATCAGAAGAAAAAATATAATTTTGTAAATAGTTTAACAAATACATTTTTCATCGCTAAAAAAATTTATTCTCTAAATGAAAATGCAAATCTAAATTTATACAATGTTTCATATAAATTTTTAGAAGACAGTAATTTAAATGATGAATATATAATATATATAGATGATGAACCACATAAAAATAATATAGAAACAAATATAAATGAAGAAAACAATATAATGAAAAAAAATGCATTATTATCAGATTCTACAAGTAAACTAAATAACATAAATTGCAATAAGATAATAGAACCACCAATAAATTGTGATGAAAATAAACATATGCATTATAATATCAACGAAATATATGAAATAAAGGATACAAAAAATGTACTTTATATTAATGATTACACTTTTATTATTTTATTTTTACTGTTAGACTTAATTAAAAATGAAAAAAAAATTGAAAGTGTAAAATTTTATAGTTTTATTTTTACAGTATTTAAAGATTATATATATTTCTTAAATAAAGAAGTAATAATTGAATGTTTATATATTTATTTTTTTTCACAAATTAATAATGAATTGTCATACGAATGTAAAGAAGTTAAGATGAAGAATTTTAATAATGATCCTATTTATAATGTATTAAATATTTTAATAACCTTTATTCATAATTTAGAAATATCTTCAGTTTTAAAGTTGTCCTTTATTTATATTAATTTATTTTTCTTTTCTCATAAAAACTGTCAAGTAAAAGAAAATACTAAAATTCTTTTTGAACATATTAAAAAAAAAAAAAATTCAATAGAAAAAAATAATATATTATATGATCAACTGAAAAAATATGAAAATATTTAAAATTATTAAACTAAAAAATTAAAGCATATCTTGAAAAATATTTTAGATTATTAACAAAAATGCACATATATATAATACATATAAAATAATAAAATATTTTATATAATACCCCATTTATTTTTTTTATCTTAAAATTTTTAATATAATTATATAAATATATATATATATATATATATATATATATATATATATATATATATATATATATATATATATATATATTACTTATAATTATTTTTTTTTAATATGTTATTACTATTATGTTATAGAAATTTAAATAAATAATTTAATTATTAATTATTATAAAAGAGAAAAAAAATATATAAAGTTAAACATTTGATCATATTTCAAGTTTTTTTTAATTTTGATATAATTATTAGAGATAACAAATGCAAAATCAAAAAGGAAATAAATACAAGGGCGCGTATATTTTTTGAATCTTCTAGATTATAATAACTTATTATCACTAAGAAAAAAAAAAAAAAAAAAAAAATAAAATAAAATAAAATAGGAAATGAAATACTCAATTGTTAAAATAATAAAAAATAATTATTTCAAATAATTACAATATTCAAAATAACAAGAAGCAAAAGAACTAAAGTCTAAAATACTAGAATAGAAAGAACACATTATATTGTGTATATTTTTTATATAAGTCTGTAAATAATAAAAAAAAAAAATTAAAGTTGAAAAAAATAAATTGAAAATTAGCTGATAATAAGATAATTATGAAGAATAATTAAAATTTAATTATTATTTTAGTAAATTTTTATGAATATAATTTAATTATTATTTTAGTAAATTTTTATGAATATAATTTAATTATTATTTTAGTAAATTTTATGAATATAATTTAATTATTATAATATATAAAAACAAGAATAAAACAAATTATTTTATATAAAAAAAGTGTAAAAAATATTTAACTAAAAACTTATAAATATAAATAATTTAAAAATATATATAAAAGAAAAATGATATATTTATTCCTTTGATTTTTAGAAAGACATTTTAAAAGAGATAAACAAAAAATACGAAAAATATTACCTTAGTAACTAGAATAAAAATAGGCATATAAAAAAAAGTTTTATGAAGAGATTTTAAAACAGTCTCTAAAAACTATAAAAAAAAAAAAAAAAAAAAAAATATTTAAATGAAACTATAATTATTTTCTTTTTTTTTTTTAAAAATAATAAATAAAAAAACTGGTATTACTAATAATCCAATTTGATTATATCTATTATGTAAAGATAAAAAACGTAGTGACATCAAACATATATTAATAAGTGAACTGAGAAAAATAGATGAAGTATAAGATTCTTCATTAAAGTAGCTAATATAAATATATAAACCTGCTAAATCAGTTATATGATTTACTAAATTTAGATAGCAATATAGATCCAAATCTATTATTATATTTTTAATTTTATAATTTAAAAATATTCTTTCAAAAGTCGGTATAATTAATAATAAACAAATATAAAAAATATTAGAAAAATTCAAATTATTTAAAAATAACTTAAATGGGTAATTTATTTTAATTTTTTTTTTGTTGTTCATTTTATCATAGTATTTATATTTTTCATATCCACTTTTATCCAGTTTAATATTATTAATGTTTTTATTTTTTTTTTTTTTTTCATTCATATATTCTATTTCTTTTCTAATTAAATTATTATTATTTTTAATATTTGAAATATATTCATTTGAATTATATTTTAATTTTTTTATATCAATTAATTTCTTTATATTTTTTATAATAGGTATTTTTAATAGATAATTTTGTTTTTCTTTAATAACATTTTTATTATTTTCTTCATCATATTTTACATTTTCTAAAGTAAGTAATTTATAATTATAATTTATATTGTTTTCTTTAAAAAAAATTTTTTTTATATTTGGAAATAAATTAAATAAATTAAAAATATGAGTAATATATTTTAACTTAACAAAAATTAGTTTCATACATCTTGTTTTCTTCTCTGTATCGTCATTTACGAATTCATTAGTAGCATAATTCTCATTATAAAAAGCTTTTTTGGGGTAATAAAGATTGTCTTTATCTTTTTTTATATTTTTTGTTAATTTTTTATTATTTGAATAATTGTAATTTGATACTGTATTTTCGCTAATATTTATTTTATCCTTGTTTATCATAATTTGAAAGGAATTCATTTCGGTAGAATTTAATGAGTTGCTGTTATAAATATCATCTTTTTTATAATAATAATTAAAACTTAAAGGTTTTTCATCGTAATAATAATTGAAAATATTATCCTTGTTTTTTAGAAATAGAATTGAAAGAATAAAAATAGAAAATACTTTAATAAAAGTATTTATGATCATAATATTTACTTGTTTATATGAAAAAATAAAAATATGATAAATAAAATATATAAAAACAGTAGATATACTTAATACCATTTTGCTTATAACTTGTAAAGTATAAATAGAACTTATATTAATTTCTTTTTTATAAACATCTGTAAATTTTCCACACAAAAAAAAAATATTATCTGATATAACATCTGTTACACTTTCTAATAACGAATATAAAAAACAAAAAAAAAAAATTTTTTCTTTTTTTATTATAATATTATTAGAAATAAGAATTAAGATTAATGAGTTAGAAATTTGAATAATTATACATGATAATATGAGTATATTTAATTTTAAATGATAATACTCCGAATTAATTTTATTATTTATAATTTTCCTCATGTTATAAGAGTTGTCACTTTTCTCATTGTGAAAACTCTTAAATTTATTATAATAATAATAATTATTTTCTGATATTGTTAAGTTGCTTTCTTTTAATTCATTACTATATTGAAACAAATGTTCTGCACTTATATTTCCTCTTATACTTTTAAACAAATTATTCAAGTTTGTGTTTTTATTTTCTTTATTTTTTGAATTTTCAAAAACATTATCATTAGTAGATTTATAATTAAATACTTCATCAAAAGAATGTATATTCTTTGTTAATAAATTTTGATTATAAATATTATGTTTTTCCACAATTTCACTATATTTAAAATTTTTTTCCTCAAGCAAATCGTTTTTACAATTTTCAAAAGATTTTTCACAATCATTCATATTTTTGTATATTTTAGAACTTTCATTATTCAAAATATAACTATTCCTTCTTAAATTTTTGTAATAATTAAAAAAGTAATTTGATTTTTTTTTATTTCCTTTCTCTTTTTTTTTCACGTAACTTTTTTTGTTGAATTGAGATTCTAAACTCAAAATTTCATTTTTTTTTTTGTTGGTATCTTTTAAAGTGTCATTAAAACAAAACAAATTATTTGAGAAAACTTTCATATGACTGGTACTGATGAAATTATAATGATTAATATTATAATTATCACTTGTAATATTATTGTTATTAGAATTTTGAATTAGATTGTTGTAATAATCCTTATTATTATATAAGTTATTCCATTTAATATTCTTCCTTTTATTTATAGTTTCTTTTCTTAGATTATTGAAAAAGTCTTTATTTTCATCGTTAAAGTTTCTTTTTTTTCTTTTAATAAATATGTTTACTCTTTTTTTTAATATATTATGATAAATATTTTTATAAAAAATATCATAATTTTTATTTTTATTAAATAAATTATCTTCTAATTTATAATCTTTACATTTTAATACTTTTATTTTACCGTTCTTATTTATTGTTCTGGAAAATATTGTTTTCTTAATATTTTTATTTTTTCTATAATCTTCTAATTTTTTTTTGTAAATAAGAAACTTTTTTTTTCCTAATTTGGATCTTTTATATTTACAAACAGAGATAACAGAAGTATCATTAATATAGATATCATTTGTTATGTTTTTTTTTTTTTTTTTTTTCTTTTTATCTTGTCTAATTCTTTTTTTACAATTAATATTTTCTTTCATTCTATAAATTTGATTTTCATGGGGTAATGAAGAATAATAAACCTTTTTAAAATCCTCATTAATTTTTTTAAAGTAATAATGAATATAAACATAATATGCAACATAATCAAAAAAAAGTGTATAAAAACATTTTAAACAAATAGGTAAGTAAACAACTACAAATAATTTTGTGTTTAAAAATTTGTCACTATTTCTGTTATTAAAATTAAAAAAATTAGTAAAATAATAAAATATATTTTCTTCTTTTTTTGATTTTTCTAAATTTTCATATTTACTTAATAAATATGTAAAGAAATGGGATATAGTAATCTCAGCATAAGTATAAGTTATTCTTAAAAAAAAAATATACAAAAAAATTATATGGTAAATATAACAATTCTTGATACAATAAAAATAATTAAAAAAATTAAGCAATTTTTTCTTTATCATTTTTATTTTATTTTTAATTATTTATTTATTTTTCTTTATTATAATGAACCAAATATTATAGAACAATATAATTTTATAACTTTACAAAGAAAAACTTGTTATGTAAATTTTTAAAGAATACAAAATATTCAAATATTTTCACCCCAAAAAAAAAAAAAAAAAAAAAAAAATATGTATCAATAATTAAAATAATAAAAAAGTAATAAAATAGAACAAATAAAAATAATCTTTTATATAAATTAATAAAATTACACGTTAATTTAGACAAAAATCTAATATAATATATATATATATACATATATATTATAATACACATTAAAAGAAATAACAAAAAATCACAATTCATAAAACAAAAAAAAAAAAAAAAGTAAAAAGTATTAACAATTGTTAACAAAATAATTCAAAATATAAAAGCACGAAAAAAAATTATCAAGAAAAAGATAATAGAATAATAACTGCAAAAATATGACAGATAAATGATAAACACAACATATCTTAATAAAAATAAAGGAAAAATATATAAAAAACAATAAGAATTATTATGAAAATTAAAAAGGAAAAAATTAAAAAAAATTAAATAAAACAAATGTGTATCAACTATTTGAAAATATTTTATTTTAATATGAATATATTTTAGAGAGGTTACTAATTTATTTATATAATTGTACTAAAAAATTGAATTTGCTTCGTAAAAATTTATATTTTCAAAAGGATACCATGATAAAGGTTTTTCAATATAATTTTATTTGAAAAAAATCTTTTTAATTACTATCAATGTATAAAACTTTAATTTTTTAAAAAAAGTTTATTCATAACTGTTAATAGTTTAATTTTTTTTTTTTTTTTTTATCTAGTTAATTAAACCATATAAAAATAATTTAGAAATTCTTTTTTTTCCTTTTTAATTACTAATAAAGATTTAAATCATATATTTTACATTAAAAATATTATAATGCGAACATTTTAATTTTTTAATCATTTTTTTTTATGTGTTAAAATGCATATATGAAAAAATTATATTTTAATATTAATATATCTTAAATAACTACTCACACATGAAATAGTGTGTTTTTCCTACTTATATATGTAAATGAAATCATTTTAAAATATTTTTATTATTTATTTATCTAAGGTTTTTTCTTTTTTAGAATTGTTATATATTTTGTAAAATATATATCATGGAGAAAAAAAAAAAATATAGCAATAAATAAATAATTGTAATAAAAGTGGCGATAAAAAAAAAATTTTCTTAGATAAAATGAATAAATTTTTAAAACTCTAATTTATGTAATTTTTTTTATTTCATATTTATTTTGCAGGTTATTTTTTATTATATTTTATGAAAACATTTAAAATTAAAAAAAGCAAAGGAAAAAAAAAAACATATATATATATATATATATATATATTTATATATATATATATCTTTTTTTTTTTGCATATACATAAATGTATCTTTCTTTTTAAGAGTTTTTTTATTTATTTATTTTTATTATTTCTCAATTATATTTTGAGCATAAAAGGAGAATTAATAATTAATGACTTAATTATTTTTGAATGTAATTTGTATTTCATTTTCCTTTTTTTTTTTTTTTTTTTTATAAACTTCTATAGTTTTATGTATACTAAAATTAGTTAAAATAATATGCAATTTTATTTTAATTTTATTTTTTTATAAGTGCATAACTTTTTTTTTTTTTAAATAAAAAAGAATAATTTTAATAATAAAACAATAAATAAATAAACATATTATTTTATTATTGTATTTTTATTATTTTTATCTACATATATACATGTGTAATTAGATTACTGTCTTAAAAAAGAAATATAAAATGAATATATTTTATAAAGCTTTAATTATTATTGCTATTAAGATACCAATTTATTTGGGAAGAAATTTAAGCAATGGGAATAAATATTATGTTCAAAACACACCTATAAATGTAGAATATAAAAACACATTTTCAAATATAAAAAGAATTAAACCAAATAAAAAATTTGAAAGTAAAAACAATCTTAATAAGACACTCTTTCTTTATAATTATCAAGTAAAATATGGAAAGATTAAAAATTCAGGACAAGTTAATTTGAAAATTGTAAATGCTCATAAAATCAATTTGAAAAAAGATAAAAACTTATTTAATAATATAAGTAATAATGCAAAATTTGCATTATTTAATTCAATTAAAGATGATATAACAAGTTTTGAAGATGATATTGGTGATAATGGAATTATTGATGATATATCATCATCGAATGATAATTTTCCAAACACTCAAAATGAAGTGGTGAATACAGGAACATCAGAAAATAATGATAATTTAAATGTAAATATGATTGAAAAAAAACGATGTTCTTTTTTAAATAAACTAGTAGAAGGAGGAAAGACAATTTCATTATTAAGTTTATGGTATGTTTGCAATATTTTCTATAATATCGAAAATAAAAAAGCATTGAATATTTTAAATTTGCCCATTACAATTGCTATAACTCAAATATTTGTTGGGTTGCCTATATTTTTAATTCCATGGTTATTAAAAATACGAAAAAGACCTGAATTATTTTATGATAATGAAGAGTTGAAAAATATAAATGTTAGTGACAGAAATGTTATAGTAAAAGCACTTCAGAAATATAAGTTATTCTTAAAAAAATATAAAAGCATAATAAAACAAAGTATATATCATGGTTATGTTCACTTATTATCTGTTATAGCTATGGGTGCAGGTGCAATTAGTTTTGTTCATATTGTTAAGGCATTGGAACCTTTGTTTGCAGCATTTTTTTCATTTTTCTTAATGAATAATAGAATGTCATTTTATACTTATTCATCCCTAATACCAATTGTATTTGGTGTTTCATTAGCATCAATAAAAGAATTATCATTTACATATAAAGCTTTATATTCAACATTAGCTGCAAATGTATTTTCAACAATGAGAGCTATAGAAGCTAAGATAATGATGGGAAAGAATCTTGAAAAATTAGGAAAGAATTTAACACCAGGTAATATATTTGCATTGTTAACGATTTTTTCAGCAGTATTCTTAACTCCTGCCTTATTCCTAGACGCATTTAAGTGGAAAGATGCATATTATTATTTAATAAATAATAATGCTAATGTAAAAATATTAGCAAGACATGTTTTAATGTCAGGTTTATGGTTCTACTTATACAATGAATTATCATTTATGGCTCTTCATAGATTAAATCATATTTCTCATGCAGTTGCAAGTACAGTTAAAAGAGTTTTCTTAATATTAACTAGCTATTTTATTTTTGGTACAAAATTTTCCTTCATGGGTGGACTTGGTTCATCTATAGCTGTTACTGGAACATTATTATATTCATTAGCAAAACAAAAATTTGGTTAGTCTTTTTTTTTTTTTTTTTTTTTTTTTTTTTTAAATTTTTTATGGGTATTGCATTGTTGCAACTAGCTTTTTCCTTAATAAATTATACATAAAAGGAAAAAAATAGATATATATTTTTATATCCTTGTTTTTGTTTTTAAAAAAAAATCAAATAAAATGTATTAAAAATATTGTAAAAGTGGATTTTATATATATATATATATGTACATTCATATATATATTAGCTTATGGATATAACTATGTGTATTTATATATATATATATATTTAATTATATTCATTATAAGATATTTTTTAAATATTTTTATGTTAAGGTTACATAAATAATTATACAATATTTTTGTCTAATTTTATTTTTAAAAAAGAAATTACGCATACTATATTTATAATGTACTCCAATTCCAATCTTTTTAATTTTTTCAATTTAATTTTTTTTTTTTTTTTTTTTTTATTTGAATTAATAAATAATTTGCATATATTTTTTTTTTTTTATTAATGCTATATTTTCATTAAATATTATTTATAAAACATGCGTGAACTTGCATAGAGATTAAAAATAAAAAAAAAAAAACAATTTTATTTTATTCTTAAAAAATATTTACAATGATTTCATAAATTTCTAAATGTAAAAAAATAATATATTATTTTATTATATTTAATAAAATAAAGATAACTTTTATTAGAAATAGCTATGAAATTAACTGTTGTAAAAAATAAAAAAAAAAAAAATTAAAATTATAGAAATAAAATATAGTAGTAATAATAATGTATATGAAATATATTAATAGAAGAAAGTAATTTTTAATTATTTCCTTTTTATTTTATATTATTATTAACTTTCATATTCTTAATAAATATGCTCATTAATCAATATATTTATTAAAAGATATTTTGTATATAAAATAGTAATTTTAACTTTATGGAAAAAACTAATAATTTATTCTTTGAAAAGTTAATTTAAAAATTTATATATGTTAAATAGGACAAAATATATTCAAAAATAATGTCTTTAAAACAAAAAAAAAAAAAAAAAAAATAAAATAAAAATAAAGTAAAAATAAAATATATTTGAAGTTAAAAAAAAAAAAAAAAAAAAAAAGCTAAAGTATAATTATAAATAATATAAGAGTAGTTGTTAAGATGGCAATTATTACATACAAAAAATAATTACTTGTATTACTAGTAACTCTAGTAAAAATGTTTCTATTTCTATTTAGTAAGTTATTTGTTTCATCTATATCTTTATCTATATCATCTAATAGCTCATTATGTACATTTAATTCATTATTTATGCTGTAGCTAATATTTTTTAGATTGTGTGTAGTTCCCTCAAGAAAATTTAATTGTTCATCTTGCAATTTTATTAAACTTTGTTGTTTTAATAATAATTCTTCTTTATTTAAATCATTTATATATAAATCATTTTCATTATCAAAACCATTTAAATTCTCCATATTTATACTAAATGAAACTTCCTAAAAAAAAAGAAAATGTTGATATATATATATATATATATATATATATATATATATATATATATATATATATATATATATATATATGTTTATTTATACATTTATTCATTCTGAATATATATTTTTTTTTTTTTTTTTTTTTTTTTACTCCATCATTTGTTAAAGTGAAATCTTCGTATAAGATTGATATGTCTTTTTTCAGTTTTTCTAGTATAGATATTTTACTTTTATATTTTGCTTCATTCCGTTGATAAATTTTATCATTCTTTATATAGTCATTATTTAATTGATGTGTTAGAAATTTTATATTTTGATTAAATTCAGTTATTTTTCCTCTTAAAATTGCTCTGTTCTTAGCTTTTTTCTTTTCTTTTTCATTTTTTCTTAAAATTTTTTTTATTTCCTTCCCATTTTCTAAAGCTTTTTGATAATCTTTCTCCCATAAATCCATTTCCCTTTTTGTTCTTTATATGCATACATATATATTTAATTGATGAAATTCTAATAAGAATACCTTTTTATATATGAATAAACATTTTAATATCTTTACATAGAGTTTAATTATAAAAACTTCGTTATTTAGAAAGCAAAAAAATAAAAGAAAAATAATATATTATAAAAAAATATTAATATAATTCAATTGAAAACATTCTATGTTAAAAAATTTACAAAAAAAACGATATTATAAAATAGTTAAAAACAAAAATTATTTTATTTTTTTCTTTTATATACTAAATGTATACTTCTTTATATAATATATTTTTTGGTGAAAATTTTAAAAAACGTAAGTAAAATCCTCAAAATTCACTCTATTATTCGTAATATTTAACACTATATCGAAAGATTTATTTCTTTTATATTTCTTAAAATAATTATTTAAAAATATTTCCACAATTAGCTATTTATAAAATATATTTTAAAATTATGTATAGTTCATTTTTTTTATGGTAAAAATGTATTTATATATGTAAAATTAAAAAAAAAAATAATAATATAAAAATATATAAATTAATTGATTATTTAATTTTTTATGACACAATGAAGTTACATTTATATTAATTGGAAATTATAATTGGTTTCAATTTTTAAAACAAAAAAAGATCCTAAATATATTTAATACAAAGGTACTAAGATAAATAAAAAAAATCGTCTTTTTTTTTTTTTCTATAAAATATTTTATTATGTTTCATTTATAAAGGTTGCATGTGAGTTTACAGTTCAAATTAAAAAAAATATATATTTTAAGTTTCAATTTTACATAATAATTAACACAATAATATTGTATTTTTATAAATTCAGAGTATATTTATATTTCAATTATTTTATATTTCTTTTTTTTTTTTTTTTTT